ATGTTATCACATTGTTGTTTCAAATAGAGCTTGTGGTCCAAAGCTTCCCCTCCCATAGCTTTCTTTTGTTTATTTTGGGATGAACTTGACAGGATGAGGTGGCGGGGTGGAGGGCAGGGAAGGGCCCTGGACTTTTCCACGTGGCCAGGTCTCTGGCATTTGCCTGAGGCTATGGTCCCATGCGCATGGCCTTTCGTTGGGGCTGCACCCAGGCTCCTAATTCCCTGTGGCCCTTGACCTGGCCCTCCATCGTCTTGCCTCCTTATGGTCTCTGGCTACTTCCCACCCTTAATCCTATCTAGCTCCACTCTTCCTTGGGTGGTCCAGGTCCCTGGAGTTCTATTACCTCATAGACTACTTGGCCACTCCTAGATCTCTCCCGTAGACTTTCTGTATAGAAGAACCATCTTGTCTCCATTAAGATGCTCAGAGTCTTTGAAATCTAGTCAATAGCTCACTCACATTCAGACTCCTTAAGAGTCTGCCCAACATGACTGATGTTCTTGTCTTTGGCTGAAAGAGGGCTTGGGGTCGAATTCTTTCAGACAGAACTCGTATGTTGCGATTTTGGGGTCCCAGTATCCCTAAACCCCTAAACCTCAACAAACTGATATCTAGCCATGATTCATTCACCTTGTACTGTTCAAGTGGATTTGTGTAAGGCTTTATTCATATTAAATTAAATTTTATTTTATTCCTTCTAAAAGAAAAAATTCTTGCATTATTTTTTTCCCTAGGGACTATAACTGACTTTGTGGCTGTTTCCTTGAGCCATATTTATGGTTGTTTTGGCATTTCTCTCTTCTAGGTTTGTGTCTTGAGCATCCCTGACATCAAACTAGCTTAACTCTAAAAGAAAAAAAAATGCAATTTTATTGTTTTTCCAGGTTATGATTTATGAAAAACAAAAATCCTTTAAAAACTCCATAAAGTTTTAGTCTGAACTCAGACTAGAAGAGCAAAATGGTGAAACAGATTTCTCACTCCCTGCCACCTATCTTTCCCCCCAAAATGGCATCTCCTTGGTACTGAGCATACGGTACTGGGGTACAGAGAATAAACGTGAGAACTCATCTCAGCCTCCTCCCACAACCATCACCCTCCCTCACTAAACCCTTCTAAACACCCCCTATTCCATCCCAAACTCCCTCATAAACTAATTTGATTTCCAATTTTCCTCTTTTTCAAAAATACAGCACTGTAGTTGTTACAATTTTTATATCAATGTAACCAAAAGGTAGGACAGGAGGTGAGGGGATGGACAGTGGACTGTGTTTAAAGCTTATAAATGGATTCAGGGGAAAGGGACCACCAGGAGAGAGAATTAAAAAAGCAACAATAACAACACACGGTCTCCATATAAACACTGAAGATCTTGATAAGAAAATGTGAAGAGTCAGCTTCAGAGATTAAATTTTATACACCTTTACTGAGAGAGTAAAAGTATTTGATGTAAATTGTTCCCCACGTGGGGAAATTTTCTAAAAAGGAATCCCATGAGCGCATGGTACGGGCTTATTAGCCCCAAGAGCATTCTGACACCATGCTGCTTCCTCTTCAAAGCCTCCAACAGGTCATTTTTAAAGGGCTCACTTGGCTTTGTCTGCAGAAGTCTGCACAGGTCTCACCTCATGAACATCATTTGTTTTCCTGAAGTGCAGTTAGCACTCATTTAGCATACATCTGATTTTATTTTCCATGTGCTCTACCAGACACCCAATTTTAGTTGTGTGTGGGAGGAGTCACACACGGTTTCCCCTTCCTTCATCTGTCTGCAAAGGCTGCCTCTGAGGTTCCTGGTACCAGAGCCCAGCTTATGGCATGCAGCCACAGGCTCTTGGTGGAGGGTTGGGTGACCAGGAGATTTCTCCTGAAATTCCACTGAACAGATAAAATCCCAGCAGGATTTCATCTTAGATCCATCTCCAGCCTTCTTCATGAGTATTACCAACTGAAAAGTCTCAATTCAGATACCAGAGGTAACAGAGCTCCCCCCTCACTACTGGGCAAGGCAGTGTTGGCTCCTACCTCCAGCTTATACAGGTAAGCAGATGGTGTGACCCCCTCTCCTAAGGGAGGGTCAGACTTGTTGCTGCGTGGTGACCTATACGAATCTCCCTTTCAGTTGTAATAACATAAAAGATCTTTTATGATATCTTATCTCTGGTGATTTTCAAGGGCTGACAGAGTACCAAGTCAATCAAGTCACTGAGGTTTTTCTCCATTTGCTAAAGAGGCTGACTTCATTAAGTCCAAGGCATAATCCAAAAGAGGTAGCTAAGGTGGCTCAGTGGATAGAGCGCTGAGCCTGCAGTCAGGAAGACCTGAGTTCAAATTTGACCTCAAATAGTAGCTGTGTGACCATGTGCAAGTCACTTGCCTTAGTTTCCTCATCTGTAAAATGAGCTGAAGGAAATGACAAACCACTCAAGAATCCTTGCCAAGAAAATCCCAAATAGGTTCACAAAGAGATGGAGACTTAACAACAACATAATCCAAGTGTTGGTCATTGCATATGCAGCGGGACATGGGCCTTTCTGCTTACTCATTTTTCCTACTTTATTCCCCAGAATGAGTCTTTGTGTTCCAGCTACGTTCTACATACCTGTTACTAACCCAGCCTTGTGAGGTTCTGGTCTGTATTAACAATTTTCCTATTGCTGGGGTCCGAGAGACGGCAGCATGGTCCTACTCTTCACGGGGGTCTGACTGTGAGATCACTTCTCTAGGAATTGGGATTGACGTGACAACACTCAGGCCCTGCTCGTTACATGGAGTCCAGCCTCATCTCTCTCCTCCTCTGGGGGCAGAGAACGGAAGGACTGAGCTGTGGCTCCAAAGCTGGTGGCCCACAGTGACTGGGGGAACTGCACTGCACTGCTTCCTGCCATTCCACCAACTTGGCTGTTGGCTCCCTCCTACATAACACTGCCTCTTCTGTTTTATTGGTCTTTTCTCATTTCCACAGCCACCACTGTGATTCAGTCTAATTACCTAATCCTGTTAATCCAGACTCTTACTGACTTCTTTACATTGATCTCTTATTGCTCAAGCATAGCACTTCTGAGGCTCATTGAAGAATTTTTTTAAATGCACAGAAGAGAACTGATGGAAAACCAGAAGGAAAAACAACCAGAATAGCTTTGAAAGTTACAGGTCGAATTTATTATGCACTTAAAGGAAAAACAAGCGGCAATAAATTTGTCATTTCAAGTACAAGCCTCATTTTCTGCTCTCCTTTACGTGGAATTGTTCAGTCTAGTGGGTTAAGTTCAGAACTTAAAACAAACAAACAAAAAACAACCAACCACCACCAAAAACAAGGTACCTCTGACTTAGACAGGCTGTCTCCCTCCTTGTATGTCTTCCATACCCATCACACTTCCTTTCAAGATTACACTCAAAACAATTATCCTCCTCCTACCTTTCTAGTCTTACATGGTACTCTATGATCCAGCACCACTGGACGTCTTGCTGTTCTTGGCATAACTCCACCTCCTGACTCCAGGCATTTTCAGTGGCCGTCCCCTATGCCTGAATTCTTATCCTCATCTCCACTGTCCTGGCCTCCCTGGCTTCCTTCAAATACCAGTTAAAATCCCACCTTGTACCAGTCTCTCTCATTCCCCTTACCACTAACTAGTGCTTTGTGAACAGAAGGTGCTTAACAAATGCTGGTTCCCCATGCCCTCCCATATCAAGCGTTCCCTAATCAGCCCTAAGCTTGCTCTCACCTGCCCCTTTTTCTTTATTCTATCCCTACCATCTTATCTTCCCTTACACTCGTTAACTAACTGGTCTAAATTCATCTGATAGACGTCTTTCCATAGAATCTGTAAAGTGTGGAGAACAGGGCACAGAGATCATTCACTACATGCTTTCGGAAGTAACTAGCTCTCTCGGTTACTCATTCTGGAGCAAACGTTACTGTGATGTGCAATGCAACACAACGTGGGAGACACAAATGAGACAATCGCCCTCTACAAGCTTATGTTCTAGTGAAAGAGATGACTCTGACTAAGCCAATGGACATTCTGCAGCTAGCCTCTCAACTCAGAGAAATGATCACACTTCAAAGCAGGATGTAAAGATGCAATAACATCGCTTCCCAAGGTCTCATCAATTTCACAGTAAGTATAAGCATCATACTCGATAACAGAATAATTCATGTTCATCCTGAAAACCTAAGCTATCAGGACAAGACTAGACTGAGCTCAATACACTATAAGTCGGGAAAATATGGAATACATTTTACAAATAACTACTCCCATATTTTTTTTAAAAAAATAAAAAAGGACATTTAAATCAGGGAAATTAATTGATGTGAACAGCACATTCCCTGTTTGATAAATGTGCCATTACTATATTTTTATCTAATAACTTCATACCTAGCAAGTTTGATCACTTTGGTACCCATTAAAAGCAACACTGTAAGTAGGTTAGTGATAAGCTGTCTCCCCTATCCTCCCTTCCCCCAACTGATAACAAACACAGACTTGCTAATTTAGGTGTCATATAACTGGGTCTTGGCAAAATATGACAGATATTTCCAGAAGCCAAGAAAAATCTGAGTTGACTTCTTGACAAAAAAAAATTTGTTTTAACAAAATAAATACCCATTTTGCGAGAACTACTGAAAATGTAGGTCTCTAAAATTCTGAGTTGACCAAAGATTAACAGTTAAACTGGTTTAATGCAGAAAATAAATGGTCACTTCATACCCAAACTAAATGCCATGCCAAACTACTCGAGGTGGACAATGTCACAGACCAAGTTATGACAGATACTTAGGTGACTTTTATCCTAACAGACCAATCAGTCTAACCCACGAAGACATTTCTGACACCACAGGTCCAAAGAAATGGATAAAGTACAGTCATCTTTTGGAAACAGGACATGAAATGTCACCACAACGACTCACAAAATTGTCAGTCAAGAAAATCTTTAAGACACAGCAACCACAGAAAGATCCTTAGCAATAAACAACAAACACAAGTAGGTGCTGTTAAATATACAGTAGCAACATTTATTTCAACACTTGTATGTAAAAGATGTTTCTCCAGGCCAGATGATTTGATATAAAAATCAAACCCATCATACTCCCCCCCAACCTCCCACCCCCACCCCCAACGGTCCTTTCTACATCAAGTGCAATCAGAAATTTGTACAACATGAATATCTGCTTCTGAAACAAAGTTACAAATTAAGTGATAACAAAATACATAAAATCAACTGGACCCTAAATGAATTCTTAATGAATTCTTCTCCTGATCACCTGGAGCTTTTCTCTTCAGCCTCTTTCCGCTCTTTTTCTTTTTGCCGGGCCATGAATTTCTGTTAAAAATAATATGTAACAAAAAAAAATTTATTAGAAGTCTTTTCTCCTCTTTGGCATCCATCCAAAGATACATATTTAAGCTTAGACCCACACCTTACATCATATTCCACAATAAGTCTAAATGTATATGTGAACGAAATTATAACATACTGTACGTGTCATTCCCCAACAGATAAGTGGTCAAAGGATATGAACCAGACCTGCACAACTTGGCAGTAGGGGCTAAACTTCTTTGGGCAGCAAACAAGTTACAGAAAGATTGACAATGGCTGGTTACTATAAGTCACATGACAAACAGGAGATCTCGCAGACGCAACTCTACATTTTTCACAGGCTGCCTGAAATCCTTTGGTGGACTCCAAGTGACCCGTGGGCCATATGTTGCGCAGGCCTGATATAAACAGTTCTCCAAAGTTACCAACTATTAACAACTACACGATAGAATGTTCCCATCAATTAATCAATAATTAAATATTAATAAATACTAAATATAATTAAATACAGATTAAAATAATAATTAAAATCAAAATGACAAATCAGAACCCTGTGGCTTCACCTTACATCCTGCAAGCTGGCAAAGTTGACAAAAGATAGGAATGGCCAATACTGGCAGGATTTAGGGAAGAGAGACACATTACTACGCTGCTAGTGGAAGTGCAAACGTCATCGAACAATACTGCTGTTACTGTGTACCACATTCTCCTGGTTCTGTTCACTTTACTATGCATCAGTTCATGTAAGTTTAAGTTTTTTTCTGAAATCATCCTGCCTTGTCATTTCTTACAGCACAATAATATTCCAGTACACTAACATACCACAGCTTGTTTAGCCATTCTCCAACTGATGGGCATCCCTTCGACCTCTAATCCTTAGCCACCACAAAGAGCTGTAGCCAGCACTTTCTGCGTGTTACCAAAGAACTGGAAACAAAGTAGATACTCAATGATGGGGGAATGCCTAAACAAACTGTGGTACACAAATGTAGAGGAAAATTTACATACAACCACCACCACACATCCCCAAACACCCTAAAACACACACACACCCAAAAAGTGAATTTGGCAAAACTGTAAATAACAAGCATGGTTCAAAATAAGAGGTATGAGAGGATACTCCCACCCATGAGCAATTAACTATTTCTTCAATTATTTAGACCTGTATTTGTATAGAGTGCTTTGTCATTATATTCATGTAGTTAATTTCTACAATAACTTTAAATGGAATTTCTCTCTTCCTGTTGGATTTTGCTGCCAAAATATAGAAATATTAATGGTTTATGTGGGTTTATTTTACATCCTACAACTTTAAGCTAATTGTTTTCCATTAGTTGACTCTCTAGGGTTCTCTAAGTAAATCATCTTATCATCTGCCAAAAGTGAGTTTTGTTTCCTGTTTGCCTGTGCTTATTCTACGCCTAACTTTTTTTTGTCTCATTGCTACATCTAGCAGTTCTAGTACTATAATGAATAGTAATGGCCATCACCGGTATCCTGGCTTTACTCCTGATCTTATTAGAAAGGTATCTAATTATTACCATTATAGAGAATGCTGATTCTTGTTTTTAGAAAAGATATTAATCATATTAAGGAATAAAGTGTTGTATCAACAGCCTTTTCTGTCTCTACTGATATAATCACTTTTGTTGTTATTGGTATTAAATATTGCCAATTGCGTTTACAGATTTCCCAACAGTGAACTAGCCCTGGATTCCTGGTATAAATCAAGCTTCTAGTAATACAATATAACCTTTGTAATACATCATTATAGTCTCCTTGTTAATTAACATTTTTACACCAATATCCCTTAGGAATAGTGGTTTGATAGTTTTCTGTGCTGGCTTTCCCTGGTTCAGGTATCAAGACCATATCTGTATCTTACTAGGAATTTGGTAGACTTTTCCTATTATTTTTTCCAAACAATTTGTTCTATTCAAATTGTTCTGTAAATGTTTGATAGGATACACCTGTAAATTCATCAGTTCTAGGTTCTTTTCCTTTGGTAGTCACTTATGACTTTTTCAATTTCTTCTCCTAAGACTGAGTTATTTAGTACTTTTTTTTCTGTTTTGTTGATCTGGGCATTTTACATCTTCACAAACATTCATCCACTTTCGTTTATACTGTCAGTTTTATTGGCTTAAAATTTAAATTGTTCGAAATAGTTCCTACTAACTTCTTTTATTTCTTCCTCATTGGTTGTGCTTTTATAAATTAGGAATGTACTGATTTCCTGAAAGAAGAGTGCCTTACTAATTCTCTTAAGGACATTGATTAGGGAGGGTACCCAATATTCAGGCAGGCTTTGGATCAGGCATATAAAATTACATGTTTGGAGAAAAGAGGGAATTACATAATCCACGAACATAAACGAAATCCTCACTAGAAGGCAGTAAGAGGACAGATACAAATGATCATCAAAGATGTAGAGTGACAGAGACCCCCAGAGGCTATCTAGTCCATTTTCCATGGAGGCCCAGAGAGATCATGTGATTTGACCAAAGTCACACAGGCAGTAAGTGGCAGAGCTAGGATTGAACTCTGACTTCTCCATTTGCCGCTCCTGTCATTGTCCCATGCTACTCTATGAAGGAGCTCCCAAACTGAACAGAAACTGAAGGGAAAACAGACGCCACAAGGCTTTAAACTACGACATAGCCTCCAGAAGGGAGTGAAAAGGGTGGAGTGCTCAAAGCAGTCCAATGGTGACTGAGCACCACTTAAAGACTCAAGACGGTGAAGTCAGAACATTACCTCTGTATTCTGCTTGTGACGTGCACTCTTGCAATGATTTGCCATCGTTTTCTGATCCGAGTAGAAGAGGGAACAAATTGGACAGAAGAAACCAGCCTTCGGTATAAGAAAATCTAAATCTGGAAGATAAGACAAGGAAGACAAAGGATGTGTGTGTGCACGCACGTGTGTGTGTATTAAAAACTTTATTACGGTTTTTAGGTATCCTCAACCTATAAAAACACAATTATTTGAAATTGTGATATTCCAGAACTTTCAAGGGGCACAAGAATGTTTTGGCACTCATCAAACCCAGGGAAATGGCAGGCTGACAAGATGCCTCCAGATGATTCTTAGAGAAGTTCAGGGTCCCAATATATTTAGAAAAAAAAGCCAAGAAATTCTCCCAACTCGATCAACACCCCTTTGAAGTTTTTTTTTTTAAATCAAAATGCTGTGAAGACATCAACTTGCTTGAAGATACAGTGGTTCACAGCAAGGCTGGCTTTGTTACCCTGTTATCCCCAAGGCTAGCCTTGTCACAGACCATTAAGCCAGGAGAAAACATGCCCTCAGGTACCACACCACAAACTCACATTTAAAATATAGTCTCCCTCTTACCCAAAAGGGAAGAGATGAGAAGGGCATTCAAATGACAGTCCCACTGATGGTTCAATGTCAAGAAAGATACAAAGCTAACACTACCATATTTATACCCAGCCTACTAGGCCACCCACAAAAACAAAGGGAAATTCTTGAATTTTGGCACTTCCCGAAAACAACTCCAGTACAGTTAGTTCCTCAGTTTTCTAGCCAGGATACTCTTTGGTTAAAAGTCTGCATATGACAAGAAAAGATTCGTATGATCTTTCTCGTGGATGACTTTGACCTTTACCTTAGAACTCACACGGCACTGTCTTAGTGCCTCTCACGAACTTTTGTATCATCAATTACTTGTGCATGTGCCACGTCCTTAGCATCACCCCCAATGGCTGCACAAAGGACCTGACACAATGTTTTTTGTTGCGCTGGTCTGATGTTTACTTGCCTAATGAAGATTCTTCATCTTTCTTTCTTTTTTTCTCTGGTTCTGCATCTTCTGATCCAGATTCTTCAACTAAAATCACAGTTTAGTTTAAAAAACAACAAACAAAAACAACCCCCCCCCCCCACATACAGGTTAGTATTTTCCTAATCTCCTAAACAGCCCACTCCCCTGCTTAAAACACTCTGAATTTTAAATCTGCAATGATTTACACCTCATTTCGTGATGCTCATTTTCTTTTTGTTTTTGTTGAAGCAATTGGGGTTAAGCAACTTGCCCAGGGTGACACAGCTAGTTATGTGTCCAGATCTGAACTCAGGTCCTCCTGACTCCAGGGCCGGCCAGTGCTCTCTCCACTGCCCCACCTAGCTGCCCCTGTGTTTTATTTTATTTCATCTTCTCATCAACAATTATCATCTATTCTACTATAATTTTTATGAATTTTTTGGAGTTAGGAAATGCATGGTGAACCAAGATTCATTTTTAAGAACTGCCTGTAGGATCTGGCAGTTTGTGGTTGGGGTGATTAATTAACAGGTTGACTAAAAGAGAGTCAAATATTGATTACTTTGGATGGTCTGTATGCTGGAATTCTAGATAAAATTTACTGGTTCTTTTTATTAAAGGTTAAAAGTGGAAGGAAGTGTGCAGGCACAGGAAACATTCTGACATAGAATAGCACGACCTGAAGATCTATAGACTAGAAATTGGAGCTCTGAATTTGTAACACCACCATAAATGGACAGAAACAAATGGGCTATGAGGAAAACTTCAGAATTGTACAATTTCCATTGCAAGAGACTTCAAGGTCAGAAGTTTTTAACCTTTTCAGTGTCATGGATCTTTTTTGACAATTCAGTGCAGTCTAAGAGCATGTTCTCAGCATATTTTTAAATGCTTAAAATAAAATAGCTAAGATTACAAAGGAAACACATTATATTGAAATAGTTATTGTGATAAAATTCTAAAAAAAAAGTTCACAGGTACCAGGTTACTAAACCAGCCTCATGATCCCCAACCTCCCACAATATGTCTTAACAAGTGGTCACAGAATCAAACATCCAGAGCTGGTAGGGACTCTAGAAAACATCTTGTTCAAGCCTCTCCTTTTAGAAGTGAAGAAAATACAGAGCAGGGAACTTGAGGGTAGCAACAGAGCACCGAGGGGCCGTCACATCTGTGTGACAGCAGCCTCTCACCCTGATAAGATTCCTACTGGGTTTGCTGTTCACTAAAATCCCCAGATCTTCTGCAAACAGGCTAACTATGGGCTAACCATGTGCTTCTTCCACCCTGTTATTGTCAGAAGTTTGTTTTTGGTAACTATGTGCTAGGTTTCACATTTGTCTCTATTCAATTTTATCTCCCATTCAGTGCAATGTTCTAGCTAATCAATCTCTTCTGGGTCCCTACTTTGTCACCACGTGTGCTGGGGCTTTGTCCTCTACAAATTGGACCATGATGTCATACATACTTTTAACATTTTAATCTTTGAGTAGGACAAATCATATATTGCCCTGCAAGATGCCTGACCTTTTTCCAAGGACATCAACTCTTTAATTTAGCCTCCCGAGTCTAACCATTTAACTAGTTCCAAATCCATCTAAACTGTACTACTGTCTATTGCTGTATGTCCTGGAAATTTGTATATAGCTATTATCCCTCACAGCACTATTTCTTTTCGATAATCGCACTTCTCTGAATCAGCTTCCTATTCTATGCAATTTTTAACACCAACAGTGACTACGACGTATCCTAAAACCTCCCGATTGCAGTAAGCAGATGCTAGCCACTGTGCAGACCTAGAATCACACCAGTCTGACAGACAGAGGCCCTTTCCCCACACTCCCAGACTGTGACACCATCAAGGTTTCTATAAGTACTCTAGACAATACATATTTTTTCAATATAGACTTGTTCTTCAAGATCATAGAACTGAAAAGGATGTATCTAGTCCAAATCCCCTCATTCAACGCAACTGAAAATTAAGACCTAGAGGGATGATGCAATGTGTTCCAGGTCAGAGGTGACATCTCTTCTGGTCACCCTGTACTGTGATTTTCCTGTGATTCTGTCTCATATCTCCAGCTATGTAAGCTCTCTAAGGGCAAGGACCACTGCACTACTTGTCTTGCATTCACACTGTGCTACACACACAGAAGCTCTCACGTTAGCTCTATAACCTCGACTTCATTAGACTATGTATGCAGGCTATTACTCCTACCTGCTCACATTTGATTTGTATGGTCTTTTTGTCTGGCTGTATCCGTACTTTTGGCTATAAGCACCAACAAGGACATTGGTCAATTTAAGAAGCTCTGCATATGAGCATGTTTTTTGGATCAAGTGATTAAATGGCTACTTGAGGCTTCTCCTACTGGTCTGTCTTTTCACTTTTCCCCCCTAAGGTTTGAAAAGCATCTCACTTCAAAAATTTCTACTGTTGGCTAAATATGAAAAGACCTTCTGAGTCAATTTCTTTTCTAAATGGTCAGTTACCTACTCTAAGTTGTGTGACTAGGTTTAGCTTAAAGGGAAGTGGAGGGACAGAGAGAGACAGGAGGGCCTGCCTCCTCAAGCAGCTGATGTACTGCCATGTGGAAGAAGGCTGAGGCTTGTTTGGTCCCATAAGAAAGAATGAGGAACAACAGAAATTAAAGTGAAGCAGATTTAGGCTTGATCCTAATAAACTGAACACTCAGGAGAATTACCTTAGATAGGAATGTCCCCACCCCTCTCACTGAGAACCTTCAACTATAAGCTTGCCTTGTTCATAATGTCATTGAAGTGGTTCCTATTCAGATGTGGGTCCCTTCTGACTCTGACTCTAGCCCTACCCAGATAACTGGTACTGGACCTTCACTTTCTTACAGCCCTGTCTTACCTATATTCACCGAAGCCTCTTCTAGTTTGGGTGGTTCTGATGTAGCAAAATTCTCTGATGATGGCATTTTCTTGGTTCTACTTCTCTTAGCTGAAGTTTTGGCTTTAAAGAGAAGTGAAAGAGATGAATAACTTAATGTTGTAGTAGCAAACCCTGGATTTTCAAAAGAAAGAAAATCTGATTAGTAGTATACATTTCGCCCTTCTGTTCCAGAAACCTGTAGTGGAAATTTTTTTCTTTTCCTTTTTTCTCTATGTGCACAGAGTGGTAATGGGGACCTTTCGGGGGCAGGGGAAAGGCTAAAAAGGACAGCACTCAGGGAAAAGAAAGCTACAAAAAACCCTTCCTGATTCTGAAGGTGGGTTCGAAGGAGAGAAAAACGCAAAATAAAAAAGGAGACTTTTAAGGGTTGCCTTAGATGCCTGTGAAAGAACAGGGGGCTGGCCAAACAATTGTGGCACACCAATGAAAGATTACTGTGCTGTAAGAAACAAAGATGTAAGAGGCTCGTGTAGTATTACCTGATGCAAAATAAAAGGAGGACAACCAAAGGAACAATTTATCTATGAGGACAAGAAAAACCACTCTGAAAGACTGAAGAACTCTGGTCAAACTAACCAAGGATGAGATGTATTACCTCCCCCGCCAAAGAAAGGTGAAGGACGCAGCCACTGTGTGGATTCAGTCATAAACATGACTACACTCATTAATATTAGAAGGGTTCTTCTACTGCTCCTCTTGGCTTTTAATGCCAAGAAGGTGGGAGAATTGAGCAGAAGTAACAGGAGTGATGCCAAAACCCAAAAGACAGCCGTAGTAACTTCTTCATATGCACAGCAGAGGGCAGTTTTGAAAGTAACATGGGTTTCATCATATACTCAAAAAAAAAAAAGCAAGCAGTATGAAATGCTTAAAAAAAGAGAATATGGGTGTGATAGGGAAAAAAAAGGGTGGGAACTACACACCAGAACCTGTGGGAAAAACAAATTGATGCCAGTTTGTTATGGGCCCTGAAAGCAGAGCAGTTATGTCATTTTGCCTCAAAAACGTTTGAAGCAGTTATAACATAAGAGCCTCTGCATGAGAAGGATTCACCTGGAGTGGTAAGAAGGGTAACAAGGGAAGAAGGGCAGAGGTAGGTGGACCCCTGAGAAGTCCAGATGCTCCTCAGGGACTGTTCTGGAGTGGGCAGCAGACTGAAGAGGAAGCACAAGCTCCGTTATTACCTGACAAGTATAAAGTGCTTTCAAGTTTACAAAGCACTTTACATGCATTATCACATTAAATGATGGAATCTGGGAGGTTAAAGGCCATGGAAGACAAACCAAATAAATACACACTACATGCCCAGCACTGGAGATCTAAAGACAAAAAAATGAAAATATCTTTGCTTCCATTCCTTCAGGGAGATAATACATAGACATGTCAGCCAGGTGTCCCAGACAGGAATAGTAAAATCAACGCTGGGGAGGAAGACCTTGAGCCCCACTAAGCTGGATATGCCAATGGGCCCTCCACCAAGGGATATCCTTTGGGCAGTCAGGGAAGAGAAGCAAGGACCCCATTTGGAGCCTTGGCTGTGCTGGTAATATGCCAGCCGGACTCTGCTGCCCTACCATGTCTGATTTGAATGAACAAGGGGCACTGAAGAGCTCTCTCTTCTAAGTCAGTGGAAGGCTACTGGTTTTTGCTCTAGTTCCTACCTGAGTGTTCTTGCTTGCTCTCTGGCTTTATCCCCTTCTCTTGAGGTGAAGCACCTTGGGTCATGCTTTGCTCTGAAATTAAGCAAGGATGAGTGTCTTTAATATATTTAATCAGGCCATGCAATAACCCGTGAGTGTTAACTCTTTCTAGGCTCTTACTAGCCCATGGCCAAAAAACTATTCACATAGCATGCCAACATGTTTTTTGTTAAAGTGCCTTTTTGTTAAAATATTTTAAAAATGTATTTGTTAAAATACCATTGACTTTCCTCAAATTCAAAGCATTTTGATGTTAAAACAAATTCCAGTGCAGGGCCATTAATGAGATTTAATAAAAAGAAGCTATCAATTTACAAAAGGGACACAAAACTTCCAATTCAGAGGCAAAGGGGCAGAAATAACTTTTAGGAGATTCACTTCAGATAATTTTTAAAACAGAAAAAGTCGAGTCAACAAACACTTATTCAGTGCTTACTATGACAAAACTTTGATCTTTAAAAAAGAACAAGAGAGAAAAACACACCATTCCTTAGTTCCTACCTGCTAGGTGTCGTTCAGTCATAGTTTTGGGGTCTTTTTCTAGAAGCTCCTCATTAATCTGGCCCACTTGGTACAAAGCTTTAGGCTTTTCCTGCTTGGTGACTATAGTTTTCTTCTTAATGCCTGCTGTTTTAGCCAAAGGGCAAACATCTTTTCTAGCTGTCTCAACTTTTAAGTCATTCTCTCCCTCTTCCTCTTCTCCAACTTCATCAACAGTAACAAAATTAAGCTCCTCTTTAAGGTTGTTAAAGTCTGCCAAAGACTCTTCATCTTCTTCTGTCACTTCATCTAAAGTCACTAAATGGACATCACTGCTGTCATCTTGTATTTCATCTACTGTAACTAAAGTAGTTGGGTCTTCAGGCACCTGGGAAGAGATGAAGCCAATGGACTCCCTCACAGCATTTTCTTCTTCCTTGGGATTTAGAGGGGCAAAACTGATATCTGCTGACTCATTTAAAGGCAGCTCTTCTACCTCTCCAATTTCATCCACAGTGACGAGGGGTTCCCTCTTCAGAAGATCTCGCTCTTCATCCACTGACAAAATAGTGACATCTTTAGGTTCACCATGGGAAGTGCAATCATCCTGCTCAATGATCTCATCTAAAGTAAGCAAGGAATTGGCATTTTTAACCATTTCTTCCACATTGAGCTCTTCTTCGTCATTCACTTCATCTACAGTGACCAGAGCTTTCGTTTCCAAGTTAGACTCGATGGTCAGGTGAGCAGCAGCATCTTCTTCTTCACCAATCTCGTCCAACGTAACAAAAGACAACTCGCTCTCAGCAACACAAGACACTGAGCTTTTCCCTTTCCTTCTTTTTAAGTTAATCTCAGAGGAAGGAGGATTCTTGGTAAGTTCTTTCTTTTTTCCTTTTGGTGCATTCTGCTTGACTTGAGAAGGGTCTACCTCTTCTATAACTTCATCCACGGTAACAAACTCATCCAAATTAAATGGAAACAGCTCTTCCTCCTGAAAAAGTAAAAGCATAATGGTATAAACTACAACTAGCTACTTAACTAGTTAGGATACATTTGACTTATCGTTATTAAACGATAAACAGCTAGCATTTATGTAGTGCTTTAAATATGCGGTTTCATTTGAGCCTCATGAGAATAACATGTGCTCCTATTTTATATAATTTCAATACAATTTCAATATTAACAATCCTGGGGAGTTAAAGGCTTTCAGAGGATTGACAAAATAAGTTAACTATAGTTTCTAACCCACTGATAAAGCATTTATAATGGCATTCTTATTCCATGATTATTAACCTAAAGAGCTTTCCTATATGATGAAAGGAATCTCATCTTATAAAAACCTTAAGCCATCCATTATTTTATGTGGTCATAAAACTGCAAGCCACATCTTACTGGATATATCAGCTATTTATTTTTAAAAGTTTTATACCTAAAGCATCATCCAAAGATGCTTCTATGTGTATCTTTTTAAGGTCCTGCAATAACATGAACTACTCCAATATGTTAAATGTGATCCAAATGATCTCTGAATTAATAGATTCAAATATGCCCAGAAAGATAAAATGACAAAAGACATGAATCTTACACTATTTATTGAATCAAAGATTAAACTTTAAATTCAGAAACAGAATGAATCTGTATACTCTTTTTTCTTAATGAAATTAATTTAGAATTCAAGTAGCTGTTAAATGCCTACTCACTATATTCAAGAAAGGCAATGTGTTAGGCACTATATGATACAAAGACAGGTGAGGGAGGGGACTATGGACACAGAATGTTGCACATGCTGCCATACACTCTTATTTTGTTGTTGGAGTTTTGCTCAAATTTTTGTTATAAGGTTGGAATCAATGGTGGGAGATCAACGATGCTAAAAAAAAAAAAACACTTGAGAGAAGTTATTAACTAGAGAGAAACTAGTCCCTGGCCTCAATGTACTATCAATGCATTGTCAGACATGTAAATATAAGATAATTTAAGGAGAGAGAGAGAGAACATTTAGTAACTTCAGGAAAGGGAGAGTGGCTAACCATATTAATTGGCAACTGAGTTGAGCCTTGTTAAGTTCTAAGGAGGTGAGGAAGGGTACCAAGGAGAACAGCCTGTATGGAGGTGAAATGTCGAGTTCAGAGAACAGACAGTGGCCCATTCTGGCTGCAATACACAAGAATCAGATGAAAAGTAGTTGGAAGCCCTATGAAGAAGAACTTTAAATAATAGGCTAGCAAAAAAACAAAAAACAAAAGAAAAAGTACCTCCTCCTCTACTCTGAAGAAATGAGGGACTATCACAGATGCTCCCACACTTAACTTGCTCACTGGTTTTCCTGAACTGTCTTTCTTTTACAATCTTTGTTACTAGGGATACCAACACTGGGCAGGGGATAACAGAGAGATATACTGAGAGATGTAGGTGATATGAAAATATATATAAATGAGAAAAATGGCATACTTCTTAAGGAAAGGATCACTATCATCTTCTTTCTAAATGTCAGGGGGAAAACAGGCTGAGGAGTTTGTCCTAGAGGTGATAAAAAGCCAGAGAGTTTGAGAGGGCAGTTCCACGAGTAGTCTGCTTTTAACAATATTATTTTGGAAGTCATATAATGGAGGGATTGGAGGAGGGGAGAATAAGTTCTCAATTAAAGAAAATAAATCCCACCAAGAGAGACTCCTTGAATTACTTGCACCTTTAACTAGAACATTCCAAGTACTGTCTTCTCTCTCCCCTGGGGTGACATGTTCTGTCTTCCCCAACCCCAAACTTTAAGACTGACCAGATCTGGTACAGTGTACAGAAAGGCAATACAAGAACAAGACATTTCAAATCAGGGGACCACAGATTCTCAACCCCAATCTGCCACTAATTAGCTATATTAACCATTCAGGTCTCCCAATCTCTGTGTGGGTTGGATTAAAAGATTTTTAAGGTCCCTTCTAATTCAAACTAAGCAACCTCTCTGCATTTGCAGAGTAGAGAGGTCTTACTGAAAAGAAAAGCGGGGGGGGGGGGCGCAGGGGGCGGGGAACTGTTACATTAAAAAAAGAAAACACTAAAAAACCAAAGATCTGTGTTACTAAGTTAATGGAATGAATTATGATTTTTCCATCTGCTTTTCAAACAAAACCCCCAAACTATTAGTCTGTACCTAATTTTAGATAGGATAGGAACACAAAGTATCTCCCCACAATTAAACCAATATTTAGTCTATTAAAGAAAAGAATAAAGTGAAACAGGCATGGGAAAATATGCTTCAAATAGTCAAAACACAGACCCTAAAATGAAAAAGGTACACGAGAAAAGGAATCATTCTATGAAATTAAAATCAAACTATACTATTATTCATTAAGGGGAGCCAAAATACAACATGAAATTGGTTTCCTTATAAGGTAGTGTCATGGCACAGATTACACTCTGCCTGCAGAGATACCCATGTACCTCACACGTGTTGTTTCACCTTGTCCCTCTTCTACCCTTACAATATCACTCTGAAGCAGGTTTTTCTGCTCACCCTGAATAATGGCTGCATCTCTGAAACAACTAAGAACTGAGCATGGTGGTGCAGCCTGTAACTTGGCCCCCTCCAGCTAACAGGGAGACCGAGGCTGGTGGCTCTCTTGATCTCAGTTCTAAGCAGCCACCATTATCTAAGTTGATCAGGTGTCTGCACTAAGTCAGGCATCAATATGGTGAGGCCCTGGGAGCAGGGGCTGGCCTATGGAGGGTTAAAAAAATCCTAGGTGAGAAACAGAATAGACTAAAAGCTCCCATGTTGATCACAATGGGACTCATACAAACCACCCCTATACTTCCAGGTTGGCCAAGGTAGGAAGACTCAGAATTTGTTTTATTTAGTTTTCAAAAGGGTGGGGGTGGGGGAGAATAAATCAGGAATAGTTCAATTAAATTATCTACACCTCCCTAGAGCTACAATACTCAACTTATGGTGTTTCATGGACTTATTAAGACTGGTAATAGATTCATGATTCTTTCCTCTAGTCCCTGAAGGGTCTAATATAAGAGCTCTAAGCTAATAAAAACAAAGCTTCATTTAAGTCGAGTACTTCTTCTTCACCACCCTTTCTGTTTCCCCCACATACTTTTTCACATAGAATCCTCCCAAGGTGGGGGACAGGGGTGAGACAGAAGGGTCAGTCCTTACCTCTCTAGGTTTGGCAGTTTTACCAGAGCTGCCTTTAGGATTCTTAGTGTTCTGCCCAGCAGAAGTCTGAAAGATTAGACAAGGGATGAAGAAACACAGGACAGACAATCAGGTAGTCAGTCTTCTTTAAAGAACCAAAACATTAAATCAAGTGCAATTAACATGGTCTCATGGTGGACTCAATTAATTGTTTATGCTTACGTATAAAACTAAGCCATCAATCACTTAACATAGGCCAAGTCTCTGAAACAAAGTCATCATTAATATCAGATAAAGATTTCTTCTCCCTGAAACCAATCCCTGTGTAGGTGATCTGTGATTGGATATAAAAAGGAAGCTACAATTCACAAAAGGAGACAAAAACTTTCCTCCCCCCATCAAGAGGCAGACTGGCAGAAATAAGATTTAGGAGATTCACTGCATAGAAATTTTAAAAAAGAAAATGTGTCCTCCCTGACAGAACCTGATCCATATAACACTTTTCAAACCTGTTACTCAAATGCTGCACCAAAGCTGTTAGCAACGCAAATGAACAAATTACCTGTCGTGCTGAAAAGTCCCTTCCGACTTGTGGCCTAAAACCAGCTATTCTGAAGGAAAAGGAGTGGGGACTCGGGGAAGGGGACGTGAAAGCATATTTACACAGTCTACTCCATAGCTGGAGAAGCAGAGTTAGTTACTTGACAATTACACCGAGCCGGCCTTCCTGCCTTTTCTCACCTTATTGCCGCTGTCATCCCGTTTCATGGTGGCAGGTCTAGTCTCTGTTTCTTGAGACTGTTTTGTAAGAGCCCTGTAATCCTTGTCTTGTGGAACTGAGGTCCGCCCACTGCCTCTGGCTACGCCGCTGGGAGAAGCTTTAGATTTGCTGCTTTCACCCAGGGTGGACCTGGCAACAGCAGGTCTAAAGGAGCCCATGTCTTTGCCCAGGAGCTTCTTGTCCATGCTTGCTTGGCTTCTGGGCAAAAGCTTCGAGCATGTCCTCTGATCTTCCATTTTTACCTCACTCTTCTGACTGGCCACTTTTGTCTTGAGCGTGCTTGGGGTGGAAGCCCCAGGCTTGGAGCTCAGTTTGCTGGAGGAGGCATTTGACACCACTTGCACACTGGTTTTACTCATTTCGTCAGGCTTACTAGCTTGGCCCACTCCTTTATTCGCGTGTTCCTTGGTCTCTGCTGCTTTCTCTCTTGTCCCCACGACAATCTTTTCAGACTTCTCCACACCTGATGCATCCTCAGCTACATTCTTTTCAGTTTCCTTTCTGGCCCTATTTCCAGCGCAGCTTTCAGCTCAATTCTAGTGTCCTTGAATTCAATCACCTTGCCCTCCTTTTCCTCCAGGGTGTTTTTATCACAAATTTCCTCTTTGCTTACTGCTAACTTCTCATTCCCAGTAGAAGCTCCTTGTATTGTGACCATGGGAGAAAGAGGAGGCACCACTTCTGAACCGGCTTCAAGTGTTTCCATGTCTGCGGCTATTTCTCCAATAGACTCTGAAAGGGTGTTTCCAGACTTCTCCACACTGTGGGCATCTTCAGTCTCAGGAAGAGACTCTTCCACCTTTTGTTTACTGTCCTTTTCTTCCATACATGGCCCACTGAAGGGACCTGGTTCTAGTTCAGCTTTAACTTTGACCATCTCTTCCTTCTCCAGATCAGCCACGTTGTCCTGAGGAGTAAACGTGGAATTCTCTGTACGGTCCCGTGTAAATTCAGTCTTGCCCAGGGCAGAGGCGCCGTCAGGATTCCCCAGCTCTGCCTCCTCCATCTGTACTTCCACCTCCACCTTTCCAGGAGCTGAGTCAGAGTCACACACTGCTCCTCTTTCAAGTTCTCCCTTGGAAGTGTCTTCCTGCAATGTGGAAGGCTCTGTTTGGAGGACGGGATTTGGGATGGTCTCTTCCTTGATTTCACTAGGCTTAACTGAGGAACTATCAGCTGCTGTATGCACCTCACTTTCATCAACTGGATTGTTTTTCAAGTCAGGGCTAAAGGTATTTAAAAACAAAAAACACAAACAAAAAACAAACAAAAATCAAACTATGATGAGAATTCAACCATTATAAATAACCCTCCTGACGCCAACGGTTAAGATTTCCTGATGCATTAGCAATTAGCATTGGGAAATCTAGCCTATCAGCGTTAAAATGGTTAAAAATATTTGAGGCAAATCAGTGAACAATTTAATTTTTTAAAAAAGAAATCCTCCTTAGAATGGAAAGCTTCCTTATAGATCAAGGGAAATTACTTGTACAAGTAAGACTGTTCTGCTCATTATTTTTGTTTATTTAACAAGGGCTTTGACCTAGGAGCAGTTTGTTTTTTTTCCAAGATCAAGTTGGCATCTGATTTTTAGGAGGCTGGACATGTGTATATAGGCAGGTGCATAAAACATTGCCCTCCCCCATCGAAAACATTTCAATTTACTATAAAGAGCCCATTTCCCAAAAAGTGGCGACCTAAAAAGCTCTAACTCTCTACCAACCTTGCATAAAGAATGTTTCATCTGACTAGACCACCTCTAAAAAGGTACAACTGGAAACTGGTAGAAAGGGGGGAGGAGAGAAAAGTAACATGTAACAAACATGTCACCCTTGTTTTGGGGTAGGGGTCATCAGACTGGCTATGAGTTTGCCTTCAGTTTCCAAGGTTGGGAAGGTAAAGAATTTCTCTTTTTGTTTGTTTTTAAAGAATACTTTAAAGAACACTTCCACCAGAAATTAGGTTTCCCTATAAAAGACTTTCTAAAGAGAATTCAAGATGGAGGAAAATTTGTGAAATATCAGATTACCAGAATGTGAGAAAACTGAAGGAAGAATCTTCAGCTATATATGCGAAGGAAAATGGAAGTCAAATGCTTCCTTTAAAATTCTATGAACCACTATTTTCCTTTTTTTGTCAACATTTATTTAATGCCTACTTCTCCGACTCTTGTCCTTGGGACAAGACCCAAAGAACTATCTTTTCATTAATACTTCACAGATCACTGCTTATCTTGAATAGCCAATATGCTATCAAAAATGAAGTGACATGCATTCACGCACCATTAAAAGCAGCAAACTTGGAGGAAGGTGTGCCCCAAAGCAAGAGATAGTCAGATGGCATGAATATTGAACAGAAAGGAACATTCCTTTTTTCCCTTTTGTGCTTTAAGAGATGAAAGGATTTACGACGTCTCATGCTTTTCAGAGAAGAGTTAAGTTTTGAGCTTTCCATAGCTCAGGTAACAAACTATCTTTCCCTATATTCTCCTCAGGTAATGAAGCAGATATCCAATGCTAATTAGGATCATCCTCCAAAAAGGTCTTAGTGCATCATAAAAAGCAAATGCTTACTGCGACCTGGGAGTCCAGTTGGTGGAATTGGAGCATTGTCATCTTCTCCCTAAAAGTGGCAGGTTCAGGCCTCAAAAAAGGAGACCAAGTCTCTTACAGATCAATGACCACATTCAAAAAAATCTTCCACTGTCCTGAAAAGCTGTAATGACAACTAAAGCTCTGGAAATCTAATTCCATGGTGCAAGCAACATCTTGTTTATGTGTGAAATCCAGCTTTTCACCACTGGAAGAACAATTCAGCCCTCATAAACACCTGGGACTGAGGATAACAGCTCCAACTTGCTGGGATTAAGTGTAAATGAATTGATACGCCAATAAAGAGAAATAGGATAAAGCCAAGAAAGCCTGGCAAAGTAGATGCCTGAAAACTAACTTTCCAAATACACTTTCATCTTCAATTGTGAGATTCACTTCTAGGCACAAGTGCTCCATTCCATTCCTCAATTATTGGACTACATGTGAGCCCTAAGGAACTGACCAAAAAAAAAAACAACACAACTGTGGTTCACTGGGTCAGAAAGGCAGTGAAAAATGGTTTTAGTCCCTAATCCCAAGATGTGCATTCATTTTCCGACTCTTCTACGTTAGAAATTTTCATTAAGAAAATCTGTCATCTTCACAACACTGTAAACGTTAATACAGAAGTTCTACATTTTCAAAAGGGAATACTGCTATACTATAAAAGCATATCAACCATTCATGAAAATGGCATTATTTTTCCATCTTTGTTTTTAAATGTTGGGCTCCAAAGGTGCAAGTTTTCTTCTCAAAAAACAAAAAACAAAAACCAGACTGTTTCCAGCTTTCTAAGTAGTTTTGGCATTTTAGGAGAAGTAGCTTCTTTTATAGTCCCAAAGTATCTCACAGAGTTGGTCCGAAATAGAAAGCAAATTTTCACCTCCACCCTACCCCTCCATAACAATACAGTTCAACAGTCTTTATCAAAGTAGAAGAAAGCACAATTAGGCATCAAGAGCTCAGGTGGAAAAAAGCCACACGCACCCTTTGGAAGCACATGGGTGGAGCACAACCATGGTGCCCCAAGAAGGACCTTGTTAGCAGCAGCTCTAACAGAATGCCATCGGCAAGACACCATCGCCCTTGCTCTACGTCCTTTCTACAGCTGCTGCTTAAGTCCAGGTTCTCAGAAAACAGTGCCTCACTTTCTACCCATATTTAAGCTCCACATTGAATTCCCTTAAGAGCATGTGTCTGTTAAGAGCCTACAGCAGAGTAAATAGGGAGCTTGATCAAAGTCACAGCACACACACCCCAAGCTGCTTTCAACTCAGATCTAAACTTGATATTTCAGTCAGCTCTGAAGTGCCCCCAAAATATCATTAAAGAACTTTAAAGACTTGCTCTTCCATCGTGCTTTGGAGTTTCAACCACACACTGCTAAGAAATCATGTTTTCAGAAGAACTTGACTGATACAGACTGGTAAAAAGCTGTGAAATTTTCTTTCTTCAGTTTGCAGCTATAATGATGAAACAGACCACATTCATACAGGTCCCTCTTGTCAAAAGCGAAGAAAATTCCAGCATTTCTTCAAGGTTAGCTCACCCAACCAAAAGCAAATGCAATCCACAGTGGTCACATCACATCCTCTGGCTCTCTTCTCCCATTCCTCAGTCGGGAATGGGAGGTGAAAAATGCTGTAACTAATGCAGGAAGAATTCCCATGAAACATAGTTTTTTATTTACTTGTATATTTATTTCTAAAGCGGCTATTAGCTGGGGAGGGAGGAGGACCAAGGTGGAAGCGAGAACAGTCTAAGAAGCTGAGAAGAAAGATTATTCCAAACACATGTCGGTAGCTCAGGCTGAAACGTGCAAAGATGAAAATGTATTCACTTGTTTACCAGTCACAGACCAAATGTGGACAAATCAACATTAACTCTGGATCCTTTATTTTCCTTGGGACACACTTTTTTTGGTAAAGTCTACCACCTTTGAGGACTCTCAACATTCAAAGATGCTGATGATATTACTACTACCTTGGCATATCTGAGTGATTTAAAAAGACTGAAAGTATGATCCCTCAGCAATCTGTGCTGAGGGAATAAATGTAAAGTCCATTACTACTGGGCAGGTAAAGTTCTCCATATATTTTCATGTAATTGATAACCAGTACTTCTAAAATAATGGTTAAATATTTTCTTTTCTACAACATAAGAACTAGGAGCCCACATATTTTTCAGGGCTCCTCAGAGTAGACAGTGGGTCATCCAGGAGAACAAAGAATTGTCCATATTCTAACAGAGTATATTCTCATCCCAAAGCATGTATGACGCTGTGGGATAACTTAAATGTAAATGAATCATCTAAATACTCTAGAAGTAAAAACAAATAACTGACAAGGACAAATAACACTCAAGAATATGGTTTCCTATTGTATAAACATAAAACGTCTTGAATTATTTTCTTTGGTTTTTAATAACTTCTGCCTACAAAATATAGGTAGAAATACCTCCAAAATTAAACAAAGGCCTTTTCCTTCCCTTAAGGAAAGGAAGGATTTCAAAGCAACTGTTATTATAAAAGTGAGTCATTACTGTTCTGTGTTTTCCTATGTTTTTCAGGTAACCAGCTGGATAAAGATTTGACAAAATTTAGATACTAATGGGGTTTGTTTTGTTTCAAGCCAATGATAATGAAACAGATAACATGAAAGGGTATTACCATGCTTAATTTAAAATAAGAATGGCGCTGATTTTTAAAGCATAAAAAAACACATAAGGGTTGTCCCACTGGTCAAGTCATTCCAAAGCAATTTAGGAATATATTATTTTAATTAAGACACTATATTTGTATATTCAAATTAAAGTACATCTATGCATTTATAGATTTTCTTAAAATAAATGTAACCAAGAAATATCTTCCGAAAAAAGAACACAAAACTCTAAACGAACAAAAAAGAAAATAAGAAAAGAATACCATAGCAGACCTGCATGTCCATTAATTAAGTAACCTCAAATCAGAGGTTAGGGGCATTTTTGGCTACACATATACACACAAAGGCTTTATTTTAAAACACAGAAGAATCTATCTATAACATATTTGAACCATACCAAATGTTAGACGACTAAAACATACCTCTCTTTTCCTGATTCCAGGTCTCTCTCAGTTTGAACCTGAAATATAATTTCATTCATTTAATTTGGAAGATCCTATATGATATCACTTTTGGTCCAGACAATTTTGTTACATGGTCTTCAGCTGAATTAAATGCTTTCATTATTTAAAAAACAAGACAAATTAAAATATAATCATACCTTAAATATCAAGTAGCAAAAAAAAAACCCTCAATAACTTGTGACTATGCCTTAAATATTAAATTACATTGAAAGGACCTTTTGTTCTTATTAGAAGAAAATCTCTCATGCTACTTCAATAAGCCACATATCAATTATCAAAGAAAAAACAGAACAGAGGTTATTAACCTGGGATCCATGAACTAATATATTTTGATAACTGTATTTTAATAGCATTAGTTTCCTTTGTAATCCTTCGTATTTTATTTTATGCCTTCAAAAACATGACTTTGAGAAGAAGTCCACACATTTCACTGGCCTGCCAGTGTGTGCCAGCACACAGAAAAAAACATTTAAAAACTTCAAGTATAGAACAACCCAATATTAAACTTCTGGGCTTAAAAGTAGCACTGTCTGCTTAAAAACATAAAAATTGTTGCTGAAATGCCAGCGTCTTCATTGTAGGAATGCTTAGGAAAGATTTAAAACATTCTCTCCTGGGCAGCAACCTCATTTTAAAGCTTGAGCAGGTTCATTCTCTAATGTGGATAGTTGTCTTAGCACGTACTGAAAGGCAAGGGAGGATGGGAACAAGGGAAGGACTGACTCCCAAAGACTGCTGATTGCAGAAGACACAAAGGTCAAATTAGGTCATGAAACTGAAGTTATCTCAATGACTTTGGTATTTGGGGGACTGAGGGTGGGGACCAGACCCAGAGGCCCCAGGGAGCTTCCAATGAGGAAACTCCCCTCTTCCAATGGAGACCATCTGCTTTGAAAGTCAGAGCCTTAAAAAAGCTGCCTGGGCCCCTGAGAGTTTTACAGGTCCAATATATCAGAGGTAGAACTTGAACCGTGGTCTTTCTGGTCCCAAAGCCAGCTCTTTATCCAATATACCATGTAGCATTATGCATTATTTTAATTTCAGAAGACTAAACCACTAAAAACAACAAAATGAGATTGATGAAATGGTACCAACATCTCTGTAAAGTAATTAAAAAGTGCCTAGACTTTAAAAGTCTGTAAGAGGACAGTTGTAATTCAGTTGTTAAAAACTCAACCTCCACTCTCCCTCCCCAACTCTTCCATATAGGAGGCACCCAAACAGACACATTTCCCTCTTTTTTAATTTTCTGAAGGAAAAAACTATTAGAAATAACAGAACAAATTTCAATGGACAATAATCAAGGTCTCAATACATTCTTTTTAATATTTCTTCAGTATAAATTTTGAATGGAAATCATCAACAATAAAAAGGAAATAAATCTATTATATGAGGAAGGATTCTAGACTAGGTTTTATACCTAATGAATCAAATTCCATTAATCTAGGACCTACATGATTATTAGCATGTTTTATACTAATAAAAGTATGGGATAGAAAATGTTCCTTGGGTTCAAGTTGTACACCAAATGCTAAAACAGGACCTTTTAAATTAAAGAAATTGACACTACCTGTTGACTTCCCCATAGTCCTATTTTCCCGATATTTCACCCTTACCCAATTCTGCAGCCAAAACTTTTTTCAAAATAATTTTTGATTTATATAGACTAATAAAGAGTTCTACAGGGGGCAGCTAGGTGGCGCAGCAGATAGAGCACCAGCTCTGAAGTCAGGAGGACCTGAGTTCAAATCCAGCCTCAGACAAAACACTTAACACTTACTAGCTGTGTGACCCTGGGCAAGTCACTTAACCCCAATTGTCTAGAAATAAATAAAAAAGAGTTATACAATGCTATTTCTACTTAAGTGTCTTACAAAGACATTGTTAATGATTCTTTTCAGAAACTCAAGTGACTTAAAGTTGTCAAGTTAAATAAGCCATTTGAATCACTATCCATCTGTCAGAGCCCTATAGGTGGATCCATCAATCACAGATCTTAGGAAAAAAATAGGGCTTAAAATAATCAAGCTCTGAAGAACTGAGTAATTAAACCCAAAAATGAAATAATGCATCACATAAATTTTGCCTTCTAGAGTCACCATGTGGGAAGATCCAGTGGAAATTTTTGAGGCAGCAAAAAAAAAAAAATCCAGATTAAGAGGTTTAGAATTTTAACCAAAAAAGAAAAAACTCACTACAAACAAAAAGGTGATAGATATTACTGCAGAGGTGGGGTACTGTGGGTACAAAACACCCTGTCTAATGCAGCTGATTAGTTAATTGTGACGAACTGCTTTTATTCCTCAATTTTTGTTGTAAGGGAATCTCACAGGCATCGATTAAAAAAATCAAGAGAAAGTAAAGCTTTGAAAATTAGACACAGGGAAATTTCCAAAGGCACCTACACTTTTTCTTCTAGAGTTAGTGGCTCACAACCACCCTCAACCGGAAGGTGATGTTCTTATAACTCCTCTCACACCAAGTCCAAGAACTGTGCTCACAAACTTTTGTCTTACCTCAGATGGTCCTGTCTTCAGAGATAATGTACAAGTCAATACATTTTCACCCAGATTAAAAGGATTTTGTTTTAAGAAGCTGTGCATTTTCTGAGCAGATTCAAGACTATCTAATTGAAGAATTACCTTTGAGGATGGAAGAGAGAAAGAGAGGGGAAAAAAAGGGTAAACATCATTTCCACCCATATTTGAAAACTTCCAAGTAGAATTTTTGTTCTGCATTTTAAATATAACCTCAGTTAGCAAACCAAATGAATAAATGAGGTCACAGAACAAAAAAGAAAAGCAGGGAATTCTTTGGGACGCATAAACTTGCTAGGGTGTATTTTCTGAGATCCACAGAATTAGGTATATAGAATATTAAACACTAGATTAGTTCCAATCAAAATAATTTTGGTCTTACCAAAAATATTTACAAACCCTTCTTGCCCCAAAATCCTAATCAAATTAATTTCTTAGCTTTGATATGGCTATTATAGTACCTAGACTTCATAAATCAGGATGAGATATAGAAGGCAGGGTATCTGTAAACAAATGTTGATAATTACTACACTACTGAAGGAGTGGACTCGCATGAAAAGGATAAGTGAAAATATTCTTTTCTTTATTTTCCACATAATTATCAATTTGAGAACAGATTTTGGAGCTAAAAGCAACCCAGAGCTCATCTAGTCCAACCCACTGACATAACACTTGAGGGAATTCAATGACTTGGCCCAAGCAAAGTCAGTGGCTGGGTGAGAACCTAACAGTGGGAAGTGAGCTGGCTTCCACTCTCTCTGAGGCTGCTTTCCATGGGAAAATCTGGTCTCAAACAAGACTCCATTCTTTCCTTGTTTATGCTCCCCCACAAACCACAGGCTGGACTGGTCGTCTTGTAGAGGGCCCGCTATAAGGAATTTAATAAGGTGTTCAGTTATCTGTAGCTGGTCAGTTCAGAGGCTGATTTCACAAGTTTTCTGACCAAAAGAACACAAAGATTCAGATTTGTCTTCTTTTTATCCCACGTGTTAACTGGTTATATTACAAATTAATGTAACCAGGCCTCAAACGGGGCCTTCACTGCTATGCAATCCTTTTATTTACCTACCTAATTCCTCCTCTCACTCCTCACATAATTTCTTCCAAGTTCTCCTTACTGAAGTACTCCCTCTCTCTGCTGAGAATTTTACCTCTTAACTTACTAAAAAAAGCCGAGGTGAGCACCTTCTTTTCCTTAACCCCGTGACAACCTCCTCCACTCTATTCCCCATTTCCTTTTTCCTACCAAAGGCTAATGTTCCAACAAAGAATCTGATACAGCTCCACTCCACTCCTCTTTAGCTGAGTTCATCCTCAAACATCCCGAATCTTCAGCCTCCCCACAATGACTAGCTGCTTCTCAGGTGTCCTGACCCTCTTCCCCGCCAGCCCCCAAAAGCTGTTGTGCTTGACTTTTCCTTTCCTTCTCAGGCAAACTCCTACAAAAAACAGCCTCTGGTCACCTCATTCTCCACTTCCTCGGTCATTCGTCCTTCAAACCATTTTAATCTGACTTGGGACCTCGTCAATCGCCCACAACCTCTGAACTGTCCAATCAGACTGCCCTTCCCTGGGGCCAGTGCTTCTCGACCTGTGGGCTTCATATGGACACTACTCCTGCCTGTCTCAGCCGGCCTCTTCGCCTTCTTTGCTGGCTCATAGTACACATGTGTGCCTCCAACAATGAGTGTTCCTCCTTTTCCCTCTAGACTTGCTCTTTTGGTAAACTCATCAAATCTTGGCAACAATCTTGTTTATGCGCACAGCTCTAGGATCTCCGCGTCCAGGCTCACTATCTCCTCTGAGCATCATTCTCACACCACCAGCTGCTCACTGGACATCTCAAATTCATGTCTCAGAGATACGCTAAACTCAGTCTATCAAAAATTGAGCTCATCCTCTAACCCCCACCCCACACTCCCCTCTTCAAACTTCTCTATGCTGTCACAAGCACCATCGCCGACCTAGTGAGTTCAGGATTTTATCTCGGCATCAGCATTTACCTCTCATACTCCATACATCCCTTGAGTTCCAAGTCTGGCTGTTTCTACCTTCATAAACTCTCTCACACCTGAACTTTCCAATTCAATCCTCTTATCTAGATTGTAGTAGCCTCCTCCTCCCTGGCCTCCTCTCCTCAAGCGTCTCCCCACTCCAGCCCACCTTATATATCTCTAAACACCGACCACATCATCAATCTCTTCAACAGACTGCCATGGCTTCCTGCTGCTCTAAGATCAAACATAGACCCCCTCCCCCCTGCCGAGCTTGTAAAGCCCAGTACAACCCAGCCCCAAGCTATCTCTCCAGCCGCCCCCCCCCCCAAAGGACACTGCATCATCTCTGTGCACCGGCACCAGATACCCGCCCCACCTGCAACATGCTCCTTCCTTACTAGTACCTTTTCTTTAAAGTGCAGCTCAGGCATCTTCAGAAATCCTTCCTGATCTCCTCAACTGCTAGCGTTATTCCTCCCAACTGCTTTGTTGCATGCTATTTTGCAAACATTTGCTCTTTATTCTATTTTATATGCAACTGTCTTCCCCATTTGGACCTAAGTTCCCTGGGAACAGAGATGATTCCACTCTTTCTACTGGTATCAATAGGCCTTACTCAGCACAGGGCCTAGCACACAGTAGGTATTTAATTTCTTCATTGACTGAAATAGATTTTCTTAAGATGAAACTATTCATCCTATTCAGAACCTAGAATTTTAAAAAGAAATATTTACCTTGTTTCTATTATTTATGAACACATAGCGATCCACTTTTCCAAACTGCAGTCCAATACAAACTACCTCGTGTTCAGTGTATCCATCATCTGGTAAGTTACCAAGATGCACAAACTGATTGTGAATTGTATCTAGATGAGCCTGTGTAGACACATAAAGGCATGGTAGCAACACACTGCAAAAACTGAACGCACGTTAAACTCCCAAGATCAAACGACAGAGCCCAGACCCCGGACCAAACTCTCTCCCCAGAGGAGGACCAGCTTCAACAACCATGCACTCCCCAAAGCCTCAGTCACAGTATCGACTCAATTTTGATACTTTATATGGGATCCAATCATAGAGAGTTCATGGTGAACTCATCTATTTCCTCCTCTATTTGCTATAAAGAGAAAGTTCAGGTGATCTCTAGTGACTCTAGAAGGTGTGTCCTAGATTTTATAAGACAAATGAAAACACCAGGTTTCTGATCCATTAAACAAATATGGAAATTAACAAATTAAAAACAAAACTCACCTGAGGGGAAGATTCTTTAATCAAAGAGGTGAATATAGCTTCCTAAAAAAAATAAAAGACAGCTAAAGTCCTCCAATGAATGACATTTATCCTACGAATTTTTAAATATGCAGGTGTATCAATTTTTAAGACAGGTACCTCTATTCCCCACAAAATCTCTTATCTAATAGTCACAGAATTTATAGCTGGAAAAGATTTCAGAATTCATACAGTCCTCCTTACCCTGTTTTACAGATGAGGAAACTGATGCCCATAAAAGTTAAGTGACTTGCCCAAGGTCACACAACTACTTGGCCAAACAGAGACCAGAACCCAAGTTTCCTGAGTCAGCCCCCTGATTCTTCCCCTAAACCACAGACACTGTCTTTCACTTAATTTTTACCTGGTCAACAATAACATTTGTTGAATATGACTCCCTGATTTTCAAATCTGGTCTTACTCCACCTATCCAACCTTAGTTTCCATCGCTCTTCTATTACACGTAGTGGGAAGTACGGTTGGATAGGCAGGGCGAGACTCGACTGTGGAGGACCTTGAGAGGCGGGCAGAGAAGTCTGACCGTGATTCAGCAGGAAGCCATCACGGGCTCTTTACGAGGGACACAAGGAAAGACGGCAGTCAATCCGGCAGAGACGTGGCGGCAGACCGAGCAGCTAAAGGTCTGGCTGTAAGGTGCGAGGACAGGGGGAAGGCAAAGGCAGCGAGGCGCATGACATTTCAGAGGAAGACTCAAGAGGGCGTAATGACACGTTAGATAGAAAGGAAAAGAAAGACTCAACAATGCTGCGTACTTCCTAGTCTGAAAGACAGGAAGCGTGGTCTATTCAAGAGAAATTGAGAATATATTCTGTAATACACACGCCCAGAACAAAACTGGAAATCAAAGTCTAATGAAAACCTAATCTGACTATGAAAATCTGAAACAGTACACTTAAAAATATTCATTCCCAATAACTAATAGGTTATTTCCCTATCTATCTGTATTTAAGGACTATGGTTCTGTGCTTATGAACAGACAAAAGTTTCCTGGTATTCGAACTCAAAAACAAATTACAGCCACTGCTTACCTCATCTTTTAGATTAATGTTTTCAGGAGCCATATTTATTGAAAGCTGATTTCCATCCATTGACATTGGGAAGCAGGTATAAAATTTTACCATAGAATCTGCAGACTTCCTATTCATTTCCATGTATGCCTTTCAAAGTAGAACATTACAAGACAAATAAAAATTCTATATTTACATAGCCATCATTAAAACAAACAAACCAACCTTTTTTCCAAAAACAATCCAACCTTCAAACCTATTTCCCACACTGCTCTACAGCAGTCTGATAGTCATCAGGTTGTAAACAGAAGTTTCTATGGGATATTAGTAATGTTTTCTCCTAATAAAATACTGGTGGGATTTACTGCATATTGCATGCAGTTTCAGGACTATAATAATAGGTTTAATTTCCTCTATTTTGCTCCCAATTGCCCTGGCAACCCCCATATCCCATACACACTGGGTCTTACATACCCCCTAGATTGTGTAAGCATCAGCATTTGTAGGTTCTATGGACATATTTTAAGGAAAAATTGTTCAAAAGAAAAATTCGCTTGAAAAACACTGCACGAGGTATATAAAGTACACAACCTCTTCTGGTTTGGTAGCCCTTCGATGCATTTTACAAAACAATGTTCAACATAATTCAAGGCAACATACAGCTACTTTTAAGGTCATTTCCAAGTTCTCATTCCCCTTCATTTAACCCAGCACCTTTCCTAACAGCACCAGGTGACCAAATGGTGTCAATTCCATAAAATAGGCTCCTGAAATCTCACCTGCAAAAGGCCTTCACAACTGACTGGAATACTGCTGGATTCATAATAGCTGAAATAAATGACCTCTCGTTTAAGTAATTCCAATTTATTTATGTACTTAATTATCCCTCAATGTAGACTGGCCCCTTCTCAGAGCTCTACCTCAGGCACTGAGAAGCCCACTGCCTTGTCTTAGTCCTATAGCCGGATTCTGTCAGAGGCAGGACTTGAACCGAGGTGACCCTAACTCCACTCTACTACTCCGCCTCTCAAATGAATGCAGCGAATTCTTCATCCTGGCTGTTTGAGGTTAAAAAACACACTTTCAGATGAGGAACAACACCTTCCTTCTGACCAGCCTAATGTTTCAAAGTGTCCTTTATTTATCTCAGGCTTCAACAGTGAAATCTTTGAAAACGACCCACTTGAGAGTTACTCACTATCCTAAGTTTTCAGGAATTAATTCTTTTCAAGTGACTTTGATGAAAGCACATTTTTCCCCCTGACATAAACTGTTACAGGCAGCCTGACACGGCAGACGAGCAATTCCACGCATCCAATTTTGTTGTACCTTTACCATGCTGCTTAACTGGGCGGGAGGAAGGCACAGCACACTAAATCTCCCTCTCTTAACCAGGCTGAAGTGCAACTGGCCACTCACTGGCCAACTCCTGACCCTCCCCATTTCAGCCCTCCTCAGGCAGCCTGGTACGCCCTCTGACCCGGAGAGCCCCTAGGAGTGGTGCCAGACTTAGTAGCGGGAACTCAGCTGGCTTAGTTCATGGCAGCACAGGAGAGCAATGACCCTAGCTTCCCCAATCGAAACCCAATATGACAACCTTTTCAAATGGGAAAAAAAATCAGCTTGCAGCATTATGGCCTCAGTGGACAGCGCTTGGCTTCAAGCTGAGAAGTCCAGATGCAAGATCTGATTATGACACTATACGACCCTGGGCCCATTAATTAATCTCTATGCATTTTAAGCAATAAATGGACTGTGATCTTCCGGAGTGGAGGGATTTCACAAAGTAACAAAAAGCACAGATCCTTCCTGTATTCATTTTTCTTCAGCCTACATTAAAAGGAATGCAAGATCTAACCTCAGCTTCATTAAGTGTGAGGAAAAAACCAGAAAATTAAATAAACAGAGGTAAATCAAAACCGGTAAAAAAAAAAATAGGAATACAGAGAAACCGCAAAGACAGAATCTCCTTCCAGCTTCTGTAGTACCTCCACTCTCAGTCCAGTAATGTAGATTACAACCTTCCTACAATTCCTTGTGGCTGCCCTGGTGAAATAATGCACAACTAAAGAAGCACAACTCTAAGAAGATACACAATGACTTGATTCTCCAACAGATATAAACGTACAGAGACACGATGATGGTTTAGGCATTACAAGTAAGCTGTTTTGACTATTTTCCTGTTTAAACATACTATGCTTCCAAGTATTTTATTTTTTAAATGTTTTATCTCTAGTGAGCAGAAAACACTGATTCCAATGGCTAGGTCTGACATCCTTTGACCCCACAGCTCCAACTTTTCACTAATTTGCAAGGGTCCACAAGAGGAAAAAGTAAGCCAGTGCTAAGAAGAACCACCTAGATTAACAGACAGCTTGAAATATGGCCTGTAACATTACACATATATGGGGAAGCTAGGTAGCGAAGTGGATAGAGCACTGGCCCTGGATTCAGGAGGACCTGAGTTCAAATCCGGCCTCAGACACATAACACTTACTAGCTGTGTGACCCTCGGCAAGTCACTTAACCCTACTGCCTAGCCAAACAAAACAAAACAAAACAAAACAAACATTACACATATATGTACGTATACATCTTCTAATAATTCTCATTGTGGGATTCATTATTGTTATAGTAGTTATTGATAAACATGACCTAGAAAAAAAGTTTACAGGGCGAGGAATATTTGTATTTTTTTTAAACCTCAAACCTTTGGCTTCAACAAACTGCACAATTAATACTTAGTTTCTACTACATGAAGATTCTATGGTATGTATATTAGCACGCACATTATGACAAACTACTGTTTGAGTTCACTAGAATCAAGTTCGACAATTCTAAATTTTGTTTTTTTCCTTAACAATTGAAAGGAAATTAATTTCATATTTTTAAATCTCTACAGCCTAAGTAAGCAATTCACAGAAGTAATTTTTTTTTAAAAGCAGAGTCTCTTGACTACTTGAACATGTAATCAAAGCTTTCCTTATTGCAAAAGAACATTCTTACCTTTTTATGAGATGATAAAATCAAAATATCCTTGAAACCACCAAATGGTTTTGCCAGATTAGAAACTTCTTCCGTAGAGTATCCTTTATTTGGCAAATTTGAAATAAGGACAATGCACATTTCTTCAGTTTCCTTTAAATCAAGATTATGATACTGTTATTTCCTTTTAGCTCTCCATTTATTGCATATTGTTCAAACATTTGTTTTTAAACATTTTAAAGTCAGGAATTTAATTCATTACAGAGATAGGGGCATCATGGGTGTGGAACACTCAACACACACAGGAATGTGGATTGGTTTAGATCCCTCTAACTCTTCTCACTATTAAAAATTAAAAGTAAAAGAAATGACTTGATGTGATATAAAAAAGCTATCAATAAAAACCTTGTAAATAATGTAAATGTTGGTGTAAATGAGTTCTCTGCTTACTTAAGAATTCCTGTATAATCTCTTTTAAAACTATTTTCATAATGATAAAGGGATTTGCCAGGCAAAGACAAATACTCCAACTCTAAACTTCCCAAAGAAACACAGAAATTTGTCATCACGACCAATATCTTAAATTGTCTGTTAGGGAAAAAGGAATAAATTTATGGTATTTATATCTCCTACTACCACAATTTCAACTTTCAAAAACTACAATACAATTGGTTCAATTCAAGTAAGTATTTAAACCAACCTTGCTAACTGAATCCTCATTTTCAGTGATCCCTGAAACAGTTTTGTGGAGACAAAAAAATGTGATAAGTCATATTATACAAACATCTGACAAACACTACAGAATTGGCCTGTAAACATAGATAAAATTAATTTTAGCTGTGCGTGATAATCAGTTTTATTCCTTTTAAGCACATATTTTTACAATGATGAATTAAGGAGAGAGGAAAAACTCATCAATTTATAGAATTCCCACAAGCTTTACCACAGAATAAAAACCATGTCACATTCCACATTTCATTTGGTCATAAATAAGGTATTTAAATTTAGTCAAAATCATCACTTTTGTTCACAAGCCAAATTACCACATGAGCAAAATTCATCTCTTTCACCTACCTGAAACACTTTCTTTAGCAGCGTCCTCAGTGGCCTTGGTTTCAGAAATGCCTTTGGTTTCTGAAATGCTCCTGGCTTCAATGTTTTCTGCATGAAAATTTTCTTTATTAAGCATCACAAAAGCAGACTAATTAAGAAAAAAATATTAAATCTAAATTAACCTATAAATAGCCTACTGCTTACCTTTGTCAACTAAAGTCTTGGTAGGTTGATCTGATTCAGTCAATAAAGGTGCAAGTTTCTCTTTAAAAAAAAAATCAGCAAAAATGAAAGTGTATACTATGTATATTTCAAGCAGTTTTGGTTTCTTGAAAGCAAATATTAAAATGGTAGTCCAAGTTTACCTGGCACTGCCACAGTCTTATTAGAGTCTTTAATTTGGGGATCTATAGGTTTTTTGCTTTCTATTGTCTTCTTTCCACTAGGTTTTGCTGTTAGAAGTAGATTCAAAACAATTAATCCAACATACTTTGCACAGCGTACTCAATCATATACATTCTTTTACACCTAGGTACTGCCATATTTTGGAGTTCAGCTTCCTCCAACAATTTTTTTCTTTCCTACTCATTCACTGGCTTCTTTCTCATTATTATCATTTAATTAAGCAATGAGAGAATTAAATTTATGACATCATTGTTTCAAAAACTTTTTATATAATGTAGTGGGCACGTCTCATTTCACAGAATTGAGACTAAAATGGTACTCAAAAGGTCACTGCTTTCACCTTCGTCCTTCCCCTGATGGCAGGATCACTCACAGTACAGGATTTAGATTTTTAATAGCAAAAATATTTTGTTTACAATACTGAATCTGAGAAACAGCATACTCTATAAACGGTCTCGTTCTACCTCAGAGATATCTAAATTTTTACAAAGTATTTGTCTTGTTTTAAAGACAACAATCAAAAACTATATATGGCAAGGAAGATACCAAGTGACAGTTCTACATGACACAACCGACTTGTCAAACACTGATCCAGATAGTTCTTCAATTAAATGATTTAGAAGATCTTCACCCAAACGCCTTTGTTAAAGTCTTAAAAAAAAAAAAAAGCAACATTCAAATCTACCCAACTATTTAGGGCCAAGTCTAACAGATTTTTGAAAGCTGAATGTGTTTGGGGAATATCAGAATTCAGAAGTTGTTTCAGATGATATGTTATCTAAAGAGTCATTATGAATAGATTAAAACCTGCTTTTTGTTTCCAGTAGCCTTACCTGATTTGTTAGAAGTTTTATTACTTTTAGCACTTGCGGAAATCACAGACTTTTTATTAACTGATGACTTTCCTAAATTACAGAAATTAGAGTCAAGACTGGTTCATTTTTTAAAACAAAACTTTGTATTCAGCTAGCATTCATTCCTTAGTAATGTCTTAAAAATGAAAGCAAATACACACAGCAAAATTAAATTACTGCTTTCATAACTTGAAATTCCATCACCTTTATGACATGGGACATTTAAATGTTAATCAAATGACAGTTGGACAGGAAAAAAATGAAAATATTATTAGAAAAAGCTACTTACCTACTTCTTGGGAGATGTCACAATGCCCCCAAGAAGTTAAGTTACAAGAGTTAGGATGCCTAGAACCCTAGAATGCCCCACACATCCCTTCCTAGAAGAACCCAGGCAGCTCCAGGCTCCTAGCTAATTTAACAGAATTTTGGAAGCAACTCTCAGTGACCCCACAACAGTCCTGACTCAGACCTGGTTGCTCCTCTAAAACCCCGTTTCAGTTTCTCTAACCCTCCACAGTGTCCAGGTACCACAGCCTTCCACTCTGAAAAGCTACTCGAAAAGTGCTTCCACACACAGTTATGGCTAGAAACACCAGGGGCTTGAAGTCTGTGCCTTTGTTAGCACCAACAAATACTAATGAGTCAGAGAACACTAAGGGACCTCTAAGTGAGGAGAGGAAAACTCTAAAACCAATCCCGCCTCTCCTGAGGTACGCTTAACCTTTGTGAGATGCCAAAGCCCTTCTGTGAAGGCTGACCTGTCAGCCCCAACTGAAGAGTAGAACACACTAACGTGCTAGTACCATTCCCCCAAAGGCCCACTGTGCTGGCAATGTCACTTGTCACATGTTAGGCAGTCTTGGCACCCACTTCTTTCACGCTGATAACCTCCTGACCAGGAGGCCCCAGATATCCTCTCTCCTGGTGGTGCCTAAGGATATGCTTACTGGAACCTCTAAGAAATCGTTTCTGCCCTCCATATTTATGATGACCACCACACCACAAATGACTTGATACCCAGACAGAGGTAACTCAAAGGCAGGGAAAAAACCCAGAACCACCAACTTCATGATTGGCAGGCCACTACGTCCTCTCTTGGATCTAATTTTATTTCTGGCAACAAGAGCATGTGGAGCAAGTTCACCACTCGCCTCTTCCTGGATTACAACAGGTTAAGGGGCATGTCCTGGGATAAATTAGGCACTGAGCAAAGAGGAGAAGAATGCTAGGTAAAAGAACTGAAATACCACCTGCAACTTTTACAGCACCTATGAAGGGCCATCCGATGTATGAACTGCAGGAGAAATGCTACCTTGCCAATTTTACAAAAGTTAATTATAAATATGATCTCATTTATGGAGAGGGCTGAAGATACATTTAATTTCTCAGATGAGAAGCTGCTTCTCCATTCATCAGCACAACATATTTGGACAATTATGTGTACAGATAGAACATCACATACTAAATCACATTTTCTGAAAGTTTCTGGGTGGTTGTGTGAACTTCTATTCTTCATCACTGTGGATCACCCTATTACGTGAAAAACCTGACACCACTGCTATATTTTGCTTATATGTTTTTGAATTCTCTAACATACTGAGTATATACCTAATCTACAACAGACAGCAGGCTTAATCACTTTGGCTTTGACGAGTCTAGTTTCTGTTAAGTTGACTGAAGTAACAAGAAAGAGGTACCATCATAAATCCCAAATCACAAGACAAAACAAAAGCAACCTGGGGCCAATAGGGTCAATGTTTTAAAGAGACAACAAGAAACTCATCATTCCTTGTAAAAACATTATCAAATAAATGGCTATCTCTGGGAGTCAAAGATTCTGAATTCTAATATAAACCCAGCAAAATGAGTCTCCTGTAAACCAAGTCAGTGCTTAGAGAAATGACCTAACTTTATCAGACAACTCAAGTACCATTTGCAGCCTGGCATCAAGAAGGAAGCTGGATAATTCCCTGTAACCTGGCATTGTCAAACAAAAGATTCAAGTACAATTACTATCAATCCTCAAAACCTAGCAATTTTTTCTCCAGATGTCTGTCTTGCCATCCTCCTTATACCTTTAGCATTCCTACCAAATACTTCTGCTTTTTCAATTCTTTGTTCTAAAGCATCTGTAGCTCTAAGCAAACACAAGCCAGAGTCCTTGTTCCAAGGGAAAGGACCAACCACCATGCTGATGTCAAGACAGATTCATAGCCTGGGTCTCTAAACTGGACAACTTCCCCTATGATTCTAACCTACAATCTCTATGTAAGCCCGCTCGTTCTTTCCAGTCCTCTACCTCCAGTGTTCAAAAGCAGATTCCCTTGTATTCTGTAACAGCAGAAAACGTTATAAGCACAGCACATCTTCTCCTCACTCAAAATAAGCATTCTTTCTCAATCTCCCTTATCTGTCATTACCATAACCCATCTAGTTGAGCTTTCAAAGAATGTAAAAATGAGTTTTTATTTTTCTGTTTTCAAAAGCCAGCCTTCATCTCAATTGTGAAAGTGGTTTAATACCATGGGGAGCATGTTTAGTGAAGAAGAGCCCTGGGCCAGGAGTGAGGAAGTGAGGAAGAGACCCGAGTTCCAGTTCCCCGTGTGACACCATATAACAAGATGTGTGTCCTTCAAAAGTTTTTGATTCTCCAGGTCCTGTTACCCCTCATCTATAAAATGAGGAGACCAGATGAACTTATCTGAAGTCTCCTGCCAGAAGTAAAGCTCTGATTCAGTGAGTGGCTATGCTGGCCTCCTAGATCCCCTGACCCCAGGCCGGGCTTTCATACCACAAACCCAGCCTAACTTCCTGCTCTGTCTCATAGTTCATACACTTTGGTATATTAATATGATTCTGCATTAAGCAGAGTCTTCTTGCCCAGATGTGTCTATCCTGCGTCCTTGATTTCGGATGGCAGGTGATGCCAAGTGCCTAGGGAGTTAACTGCCAGCAGACCTCCCCCTCTCCTTTCTCCACACTTTACCACCCAATTTTCTTCTTCATGACTTCCAAAATTCCAATTCTGCATCTTGCAGGAATCATCCCACATTGGTGGCGAGGTTCTCCATGTTCACTCCTGTCAAAAAGGCTTTTTCTACCACTCAGGTGAACCAACTCCAATTCCACCTCTCCTCTTGTTCAGCCTGAGCAGGCCCCTAATACACTTATCAGTAAAGTGAAAATAATACTAGTATTACCTAACCCAGTGAAATGCTTTCAAAACTGTAAGGCCCTTTAAATAGATATTACTTCGCTGGTTTCAGGTTTTGCATATAACATTATCTCATATTGGGCACACAAGTGAATGAGCATCAACACTGCATTTTAATCTATTTGGATGGAATTCTTCTAAAACACACTACATAAGTTCTTTAACAAAAAATAACACACCTTAATGTTTCCTTGACAACTCAGGTTTGCCAAGATCATTACTATACTGTGCAAAAACACATTAATACTCAAAGGAGCAAAAAGGCCTCAAGGCTTCTAGGACCTGAGTTCTTCTAGAAAGCTTTTACTTTCCTCCAGCTTCCCTATCACCTGTTGCACACGTTGCCATGCCTACCTCTTATGACAACCTCTTCTCTGAACCTACCCTTTTCTGACCTGCACTAAGTAGTGCCTTGTTTGTGTGAAATCAAGGATCTTCCTAAAGGTCCAAGGGAATTCCCTGGATTGGACAGTCAGCTTTGGTTTCCCCCCCCCACCCCGTCCAGTCTGTCCTTCCAATGCTTTTTTGCTTTAACAAGCAAGGCTGATACCCCTGGACAAGTCTTTTTGTCTGCAGATGCTTTGTGCTGTTAACTTGCACTTGTTTGTTTCTCCTACACACACACCCTGCTGTTTTCTCATAAATATACTTTGTCGAACCTCAACAAAAACAAAGCACTGTTCTCTTTACTCATTCTGCCTCTACAGGTTTAATATCAAAGTTATGAAAGATAAAAAAAAAAAAGATCAAGTCAAGAAATACTGCAGGAAAAATCAACTTACCAGTGGAAGCTGATGTTACAGATTCGGCCTTTGAAGCATCCACATCTTTTCTAATGAAAAGAGTAGAAAGGTTCATAAACTCTGCTAATTTCACAAATTCAAGAGGTTAAAATTACTCTCAATTTTAAAGAGCTGTGCCATTTAACCTGAAAGTAACACAATAGCATTTTAAGACATCTTGTTTTACTAGGAAGGCCTGTGCAACTAAGGTATATCAGGAAAAAACGCAGCTTAACACCTTAACACCAAACAATCGTGACAAATAATCTGGATACAAAGGAGAGGATAAAAAAGCTCCTCTCTCCTGTGAGTAGACAAGTGGCAGGCCAGGGCTGAAAGACTATCACTATATTTGTTGTGGTTCACTGTTTTTCTTTGTTTAAAAAAAGGGAAGGTTGATGGAAGGGCGGGAAAGAATAATAAAAAATGGCTGTTGTTAAAATTAATGGCATCAGACACCTTAAATTAAAAAGTAATGTAGGTTTGCCACAGTAAAATGAACAATTCTTAAAAGAAAGTCCCCTAGTTTAACACCCCAATCCCAAAACACAGCCATGGAAACACTTACTTTGAAGTCGATGGTTTCTTTGTTTCGGAAACTACTTTTTTCCCATCCTTGTTCTAAAAATAAAAGGGATCGACTTTAAAACACCCGCCTAACAGACTTAAAGTCAACAGTGTTTCCATCAATGGTACTATCATTGACCCAATATCCAAACCTCAATATGACACCTCTCCCTTCTTCCCTATATCCAATTAGTAAATTCCAAATATGCTTCTTTTGGACTATGTCTCTTGGATTTTCTCTCCCATTAGATACTATCCCAGGTTTTACTAGAAATGGCCATCTCATCACATACTGTAGGCTCTTCTCCCCTTCTTGATTGATATCCTTAAACATTATCTATACTCAATGCTGTCAAATTCTCTCCTCTCAATTCACTCCCCAAGTGTGGTGAGATGACTTTTGATATCACCATGCCAATTCAAACTGCTTTCTCCAAGTTACCAGAGGTTCCTAATAGCCAAATTTGGTGGTCTTTTCTCAGTCCTTATCATTCTTAATCTGTCTTTGCATTTGACACCAGTCACAATCCTCTTCTGGAAACTCATCTCTCTGGGTTTTCATGACACCACTTTCACCTAGTTTGCCTCCTACCTACCTCAATACTTAAGTCTCCTTTGCTAGTTCATAATGCCCATATCATGACCCCCAACTGCTGATATTCTCCCCAAGGTAGTTTCCTGGGCCCTTCTCTCTGTCTCTGTCTCTCTCTCTCTCTCAGTAACCTCATCAATTCCCATGGGTTTAACTATCTGCTCTACGAAGATGACCCCAGATTTACATATCCAGCCTCAGTTTCTCCCTTGGGCTTCAAACCCACATTAACCAATTGCCTACTGGTGGGCATTTCAGAGTGATGTCCAAAAGACACCCTAAACTCTCTGTCTATAACTCAGCTCCTTATCTTTCCCCCTAGATCTTCCCCTCTCCCAAACCTGCCCATTTCTGTCAAAGTAAAAGACCCTAGTGTGTCTACTTTACTATCAGGTAGGTAATCTCAGCATCACATTAGACTCCTCAATCTTGCCCTACATCTCCAGTCAGCTGCCAACTCTTGCTGCTTCTACCTCCACAAACTTCTCTCGCTCTCCTTACAAACCAACCAGGCCAGGCCTTTATCTACAGTAGCTTCCTAATTGGTTTCCCTGCTTCAAGTCTCTCCCTACTCTACTCCTTAATGTTACCAAGGTAATTTCCCTTTAGCACAGATGACCACGTCATTCTCCTCCGTTTCCCATTGTTTCTAGAATACAAACACTCTCTTTAGCTTTTAAAGCACTAAAAAACCTGGCAACTTCACCAAAAGCACCTTCTTGTCCCCATCTCATCTGTTCCCTCCCAGATGGCTTCTGACACTAGTACTCTTTTATGCCTGTCTCACGTGGGAGGTGGCCGTACTCCTTCCCAAGGCAAACCCTTCTGCATGTTCAAGTGATCACACTTCCATTCCATCTTCTCTAGATTGCCACACTATCATCCCTACTCTCATGTATCTTCTATCTCTCTGTTCATTGAATGTTTTTCTACTGATTACACACATAACCATGTCTCCCTATCTTAAAAAAAAATCCCTGCTTTGATCCACTCATCCCACCTACCGTCCCATATTTCTCCACCCTTTTTATAGCTAAACTCCTTGAGAAAACTATCTATACTCAGCCTCCACTTCTTTTCTCATTTGCTTTTAAACACTGCAGTCTGGCTTTTAGCCTTACCATTCAAATGAAGCCACTCTTTCTAAAGTTACCAGTGATCTCTTAATTGTCAATCTAATGGCCTTTTTGTGGTCTTCATCCTTCTAAAACTCTCTGCAGCCACTGACATGGTCAAGATTAGGGCTTCTTAAAACTTTTTTCATTCTTCTTGCATGGCCTGAGGACGTGCACAGTGCAAAGTGCACAGGCTTTACGTTCAGAACCACGGCTTTGGGCAAGTACTGCTAGAAACACCTCAGATTCGTTACACTTTTGATTTTCATTACTTTTTGGTCATTGCCCATTCACAAACATTTTACTGTTGCCAAATTTTTTGCAACCTCATATGGGGTCACAACCCACAGTTTAAGAAGCACTGGTCAAGGGGGCAGCTAGGTGGTACAGTGGATAGAACACCAGCCCTAAAGTCAGGAGGACGTGAGTTCAAATCCGGCCTCAGACCAAATGCTTGACACTTACTAGCTGTGGGACCCTGGGCAAGTCACTTAACCTCAAACTGCCTAAAAATTCCAAAAAAAAAAAAAAGCACCAACACTGGCCAAGATCACTCTCTTCGCTCTAGGGTTTCAGAACACTACTGTCTCCTGATTTGCCTCTTGCCTGTTAAACCACTCCTCAGTCTCCTTTACTGGGTCTAGTCACAGCTGCTGACCTGGGCCCTCTTCTCTTCTCCCTCTATACTATTTCATTTGGTAATCTCATCAACTCCCATGAGATTAAATTATCTCTATAATCCATTTGTCCCACCCTAACCTCCCTTGCCTGGAATCTCCCAAGTATCTATTGGACATCTTAAAACCGGATGCTCCACAGACATCCTAAACTCAACACGTCCCAAACTGAACTCATTCTCTTTCCTCTCAAAGACCTTCTCATCTTCCTAATTTCCTTCTTGCTGTTGGGGGCACCACCATCCAGCCACAACAGGTTCCCAGTTGAGGCGTCATTCTTTCCTCTCTCTCTTGCAAGGGCCTGTCAATTCTGACCTTAAAACATCTCTTGCATGTGCTCCTCTCCCCTCATACCACCCCCACCCTGATGCAGGCTATCATTACCTCGTGCCTGGAGGGTCTCTCTGATTCCAGTCCATTCTCCACTTAACTGTCACCCTGGTCTTGCTACAGCACAGATCAGACCACGTCACATCCCTCGCTCCCCTACTCAATAAACTCCAGTGACTCCCTATTGCTTTTAGGATATTCCTTTTGGGGTTCAAAGCCCTTTATACTGTCCCCCTCCTACCTTTCCAGGCCGCTCATACACACATTACACACACGCACAACACACTCTTCAATCTAGTGACACCGGCGTCCTGGCTGTTCCTCAGACAGGACACGCTAACTCCTGATTCTAGGCACTTTTACTATAGTGTTTCCCCCCCACATCCCTGCCTCCTGACTTCCTTCAAGTCCCAGCTAAAAATCTGACCTTCTAGAAGAAGCTTTTCCTGATGGTCCTTCCTAATTCTAGTGCCTTCCCTATCTCAACAACCTGCTGTCTATCCTGTCTCCAGCTTGTGTTTACTTGGCTGTGCTTTCTCTCCCCTACTAGAGTGTGAGCATCTTCAAGAGCTCTTTGGCCTTTCTTTGTACCCCTGGCAGTGCTCGGCACGGTGCCCGGCACACTAAAATTCTGTTTACTGAAGGATTCTCCCACTCTTGCGCTCTCTTAACACTGTATTTCCCTGCCTGTACCTTAGCAGTCTCTTGCGTCTGAAACACACTCCCTCTCTGTCTCTGGCTCATAAACTCCCTCCTCTCCTTAAGATGCTGCTAGTCACCACCTTATGCACAAGGCCTTTCCTGATCCCCCAACCCTCCCATATTACCTTGTATTTAATTATGTTGTATTTGTGTCCATGCATATGTATATAAACGCATTTAAATTTTATATTCGTGGTTTATGTGCAGGGTGTCTCAAAAATCTTAGGGCAGTTTTAAACTTTAGTAGCTATTAAGTAGTTGAGCTATTAAAGTTCAAATGGCCCTAAGGCTTTTGGGACACCCTCTATTTTTATATGTACTAGTCTTCTCCATTAGAATTAAGTTCATTTGCAAGTAGGGATTATTTCATTCTTTGTATTTATACCCCCAGTGCTTAGCACAGTGATGCACAAGTGATTTATTAACTCTCAATCTCGTTACAAAACTGAAAATGAAATGTTAAATATTTCATTGTGCCTGAAATATACTTCCTAAAATAAAAATTCAAGAAGGAATTAGAGAAAAATTTGGGCTGCTGCATAATATGGCTGATAGGCCAAAAGATACTAATAACATCAGCAATGATTTTCTAGCAGACACAACATTTAAAGGTTATTTATTTCACCCTCTGACACAATAATTAATCTTCAGGGTGGTAAAAAAAAGTTTATCATCATAGAGTTAAAGAAAGCAGTTGAGGGGCAGCTAGGTGGTGGAGTGGATAGAGCACTGGCCCTGAAGAATGACCTGAGCTCAAATCTGGCCTCAGACCAATCACTTCACACTTACTAGCTGTGTGACCTTGGGCAAGTCACTTAACCCCAAATGCCTTAAAAAAAAAAAAAGGAAGTTGACCTAAGGCACTTTCCCTAAAAAATAAGTTCTAATCCAAGGGTTTTAAAACTTTTTTTGGTATGCTGGGGCCCTGGGCCCACCCTTTTGGCAGCCTGGTAAATCCTACAGATCTCTTCCCTTCTCAGAATTACGTTTTAAAATGCTTAAAGTCACAAAGAAAATCAATTAGATTAAAATACTGTTACCAAAATATTTCAACATCCAGTTCCCTGATCTCTAGCTAAGAATCCGTGGTCTAGGGACTATGTGTTCCATATTCATTCATTCCTAGATTACAGACCATCTACACATACAACATAGTATAACTAAAATTCTCAAGGACAGCACAATATTTAGAAAACACTAGGTACAGCACAGTTTACTGAAACATAACAGAATGCAACAGCTCTAATTAAGATTTTTATCTTTTAAAAAGCCTCAGAAATTTCTGTATTTGTAGAGCTTGGTTAGGAAATACCTTTATTTGGAAAGCCTCTTTTCCCATGTGTGGTGTTTCTTCCCACATTTCAGTTGCATGCCCACAATGATAATGCTTGGGCTTACTGAGGAATGAATGAATGAATTACCTGAGCAGTACTCGGCAGCTTCTTCTTGCCTGCGGCACTGATCTTCACCCGCTTCCCTTTCACTTGGACCGGTGTTGTTTCACAGTACTTCACGGCGGCTGCCACAGCCTCTTTAAACTTCATTTCCAAGTATGCCTAAAAGAAATGGCAAGTTTATGCCTCATCTCCCTAGAGTCCATGTTTAAAAAGTGTCAGACATGTAAGTGGACTATGTGGTTCCCTCAGTGCACTCATCTTCCTCGCTAATTTTTCATCTGATGCTTATGGTGTCTAAGAGTTGAACTCCCCTCTTTCCAACCTCTCCATCTTCAGCACTCACAAGCTGTCTCTTAGCTAAGCAGGTGGTTGTGAGCACTCCAACTCACAGCTTTGGGAGGCTGAAAGCAGGCCCCAGCAAGCAGTCACCCCCGGGAAAAGAGGGCAGGGCTGAGGCATCCCCTGGAAGAGATGGCCAAGAGTGGGCAAAGAAGCAACAGGAACCCAAAGCAGAACGGGCTGCATGAGAGGTGGATCTCGTTTCTTCTGTGCCACCTTCCTTATCTAGCCCTATATTTCATGATCTGCTCACGTCAATGGGCTGGTTCCTTCTTTTCTTGTTCATCTTGACACTACACAAGTGAAAATCTGCCCTATGGTTTTATCTGTAATGAAGCATGCTATAAAGGCAAGACCCTAGGTTAAATCTTGTCTCACCTACTTCCCAGTTGTGAGACCTCTCCCAGCCTCTGACTCCTCTTGTGAAAAATGAGGCTAATACCCATCTAATTCACAGAGTTAGGGTCAAAAGATAATATGACACGTGCTTTGTAAGCCTAAAAGAAGTAAGTAGATGACAGTGATTATTAATACTAAATGGTATTCTGGTAACAGTTACTAGCCAACTCCACTTATTGACACAAAAGATCCCGCTGCCTCTAGCTCTATTCTCAAGCTGCACAGATTTAACAGAAAAGTGTTGTATTCTTCTTTGAATATGGCATATTATAATCATTCCCAAATAACTAAATATACATACTTAAAAAAAAATTGTTCAAAATTAAACAGCTCGCTTTAAAAACAGACATACAATTTGAGAAGCCTCAAACTCTGCTCAAAGCACATCCTGCCACGAAGCAGTGATCCTCATCGCCTGAGATGGAAAAGAGCAGACACTCATCTTTTCTGTCCTTCTACTGAAGTGGGGAAGGGAGAATGGAGAGCCATGACTAGCTAGTCAGAATACGCAGCAAGTTAGGTGGTCACACAGAATGCATGGGTTGCAGGAGAGAGAACTTCTTACTGGTCCACGGACTGAAGCTGCAGGGTCAGAAGCCACCGATTTTCAAGTCTTATAAAATATTTTTTGTCAAAACTAAGCATTTCCCTCAGTATCCCAATACATATGGATGGAAGCTTATGATAGGATCTTTTACAAAGCTATCTTAATACCCATTATCAATCACTTCATTCAAGACTAAAACTCATCTAATCAAAAAAAAAAAGGTAAGATCAGATGCCATTATAAGAGAAAGAAGAAAACTACTATATATCATAGTATAGAGCTATCCAAGGGAAGTCAAAGTGCAACAAATGAACAGAAGAGAACCAGAAAATGCTCTAGAATGTATAAAATGGGATCTCACTGAAAGAGCTCCTAGACAAGCTAAAGATCACTTCTCAGGGATGTGGCAGAAAGTCTGAGCTTGATAAATGTCCCACCCAGCTCTGAAGTGTATGGGTTTTGGATTAATCAACATAAGTGGATACCATGTCAAACATTTTATGTTTCATAATAAGAAGCTACCTGCCTCATCACAATTCCTAGGCTTAACTGCGAAGTATTAAAGGTGGGTACTGAACAACAAACCTAACACTGTTTTTGACTTCCAGAAAACACACAACTAATTGTAGACTGTAAAACTACACAAAAACACGCCTTCATGGAGCAAGGACACATAAAGGAGAAAGGCTACACAGCATACAGACTGGAGAGAGCTAGTCTTGGAATCGGGAAGACCCACTTCTGTCACCTACTGGCTGGGCTGTGTGACCTTGGGCAGGTCACTTAACCTGACTGTCTCTGACAACCCTCTACATTATCAAATGGCAAAACAGGTACTGAGCCAAGTTGCCTACATCAATGAAATCATACATCTAGTTTAAAAGAGGGTTGGGAGATCATGGGGATAAGGGATGGCCCAAGATAGCTGGTAAAAAAGAAAAAAATCAGACATTTCTGAATTTAACAAAACAAACAAAAATACAAAACAAAACAAAAACCAGTCATTTCCCATAAAGTTTTATCATCTCCTTCAAAAGTGCTGATGGAATTGCTTACCTCATTTCTAGATGGAACAATCAAGAGATCACTAACTTTTCCAAATGGTTGAACTATTTTTATAATATCTTGCTCAGTGTAGCCATCAGTTGGTAACTCTGATACATGAATAATTGTATCACAACGCAAGGATTCATCTTCCCACGGCTGTATGGGAGGAGGAAAAAAGTTATTTGGATTTCTAGCAATCCAAATAAGTCACTACACCCTCACATTAACAATACTTCTAAAGTTAAAGGAATAACACACTAACAAATCATGAATGTTTCAATTACCAACCATACTTATAATCACAGTGTCCAAATTTTAGTGTACCAGATGCTGAAAAGCACTTTTTAAATGACACGAAGATATCATATGCTCTTCTTTGTAAACAAGAGGACACAAGTAAATCCCAATTATTAACACAAGTGCTTTGTTTTTCTTCCCTTAGTAACAGTGACTAACGTTTCATTGGGCCAACCATACTCTCATATGGTATTCAATTTTACTCAAAGCAAGCGTATGAAAATCAGCCCAGCATGGAAGACAAACACACTGGTACACTGTTGATGAAGTTACGGACTGGTTCAGCCATTTTGGAAAACAATTTGAAACCATACCCCAAACTAACACTGAGCCTACACTATGACCCACTGATGCCACTACGAGGCCTATATTCCAAAGAGATCAAAGTGAAAAATACTAAATGTATGATAATATTTATGGAAGCCTTTTTTGTTATGGTAAACAATTGGAAACAAAAGAACGTGCTCGTCAACTGCGGAATGGCTGAACAAATTAAAATTTATGCATGTAATGGAATATTACTGCCCTGTAAAAAATGATAAAAAGGATAGTTTCAGAGAAACATGGGAAGACTCTTAAGAGAAGGGAGCAGAACCAGGAGAACTGATATGCAACAACATTGCAAAGAAAAAGAACTCTGACAGACTTCAGAATGCTTAATCAATTCAATGACTACCTCTTAACTCCAGAAGACTAATAATGAAGCACTCCACCCACTTCCTGGACAGACCCAATCAGCTGCCCAATTCTGCCATTTCTATCTCCACATCTTTTTTCCATCACACAGCCACCACTTTAATCAGACCTCATCATCTCATGCCTATGTCACTGTACAAGCCACCTAACTGACCTCCAGCCTCAAGCCTCATCCCAACCTTACAGAGCTGACAAACTGATTTTCCTCCAGAATAGCTCTCACAATGTCATTCCCCTTCTCCAACCCTAGTGACTCTCTATGGCTTCCAACTTGTGAATCTCTTCAGGACTTGGCCTCACCTCCATTGTAAATCACTCTGCCTTCTTCAACTGCTAGTGTATAACCTCCCCAGAAGACATTTCATTTTTTTCTCTTTACATATTTATAGGAATACTTGTCTCTCGGGTCGAAATAAAAGTCTTCCTTCAGAGTATGGATTGTTTTAGACCTTGCATTTGCATCCCCAGTACCTTGAGCACAGCAAGCTTTCAGTAAATGCTAAAGAGCTTATGGATCCCATACAGGAGACTGCAAGTGTCATTCACAAACAAGAGCAGCTACCTGGAGGACTTTACCTTCTCTCTCATCTGACTAAAAAAGCATTTGCTGAACACATACATCTTCCACAACAGTGGTAAACACCTTTAGTGAGCACACATATACCCTCCGGCTTTGTCTCATCTGGATCAATGCGAATCCTATGATGTTCTCTGTTAAATCTTTCAAGAAATCTTGCGTAATTTTAGAATAAGCAAAGTTTTCAAGATGGTATTTTACTCTACCTAGTCAAAGACTTTAATAATCAAGCACTATGACCATACTTTCTTGTGCCTTTCCAACAACTACATGCCCACAAAAAATGTAGTCTGCTAAAAAATATCATCTGCAAAAGCTTGCCTATAATTTTCTCACAACTTTATAAATTTTCTCATTAACTTCGATTCTGTCAAAATGCTCCCAACATAATAAAGATAAGTAGATATTCCTTTGTAATAGTTTCAAAAAAAAAAAAAAGAACAACGTTAAATACACGAGTTGATAGCTGATTCAAGGCAACAGGGAGTCACTGAAATCCAAGTACAAAAATAACATTGCTTGCTGTTAAGAAAAATCCCTCTAGCAGCTGTTAGTGAAAGATTAAGCAATACAGGTGACAAAGGGAAAATTCTCTTCCTCCAAGACTTCAGATTGTGGTTGTGACAATGCGCTGTGGGGGATGGAGACTGAACTCCAGGGCAGAAACTCTAAGTACATAAGAGCTACGTACTGCAGAAAATTAGAAGAGTAAAAAGGTTTCACCTGCATCACAGCGGTCTTTACATAATCTGCTACCCTCAAACTGCTCCTCTTTTTAATTCTCTATTGTGGAGCATCCTCCAGCATCTACCACGTTGGTAAGCTGGGCCCTGTCCTCCTTCCCTAGACATCCCATCAGTCGCCCAATGTTTCTCCCTCCAAACATCTCCTGAAATCTGCTTCCTTTTCTCTACAATCACAAAGTTACCATTCTCACTGAACCATCACCTCAAACCTGACCCACTGCTATAGCCCAGCTGGTTTCCCTGCCAAAAGGGGGGCTCTTCTCCACACAGCATGGCAGTGACCACACTGATTCCAGAGCACCCCTCTCCCCAACTCCAAGAGTTCCCTATCACCTCAGTGGGGGAGTTAAACTCTTCACAAATGGCCCCAATCAAATTGATTCCAGCTTCATTAGATATATATAAAAACACAATGAAAATACCCAAACATGAAGACATAATTTAAGTATATTATACTTTAAGCACAACTAAGTAAATTAAAAGGAAAAGTATTTACATTGAAAACTTTCTGCTGAGTTGAAATCAGACAATTCATTTAGGTTAACTGTCTACATTTTGTATGGTGACCAATTATAACCATGAAAACGTGATTCCTGTTATGATCTATTTAGGTGGCACAATGGACAGAGCAGTGAGCCTAGAATCAAGAAAACCTGAGTCTGAATCCTGTTTCAAGCACTTACTAGCTATATGACCCTGTGCAAGTCACTTAACCTTAGTCTGCCTCAGTTTCCTCATCTGTAAAAGGGGATAATAGCAAGGTTGCTTGTGAGGATCAAATGAGGTAATAATCATAAAACAGCACAGTGTTTGGCACACATAGTAAGTGTTCTATGAATGTTAACTATTATTATAAGAATTATTTTAATAAAAATAACTCACAAAATCTATCTGTTTGGTCAAATACAATGACCAAGTTAGTTGAATAATTACTAACAATTCTTATTTACAAGTATAACCTGTTCCTTAGGATATATACAGAGCACTTTAAAAAATAATAAAGCTTATTCAATCACATTGCAAATTAAATTAAAGCAAAAAAAAGCAGTATACTATTAATGAACTTTTAAAATATCACTGATCATCTTTATATATTTTAAATATTTGTACTATAATATACATATTTGTAGAGTAGCATATCCTTACGACAGGGCAGGTAAGTGGCGCAGTAGACAGAGTACTGGGCAGAGAATCAGGAAGATCTGAGTTCAAATCCAATCTCAGACACTTACTAGCGTCATGACCCTGGGCAAGTCATTTAATCCTGTTTGCCTCAGCTTCTTCATCCATATGATGAACGGGAAAAGGAAATGACAAACCACTATCCTTGCCAAGAAAACCTCAAATGGGGTCATGAGAGTTGGCCACGACTTAAACAACTAAATGTATTTATAACGATTTGAAAACATACAGCTATTGAGTTCTGTAACAAAATATTATTTTACTGATGGGGGTGTTGTTATCTATCAGTCCAGCTACGGTCAACATCACCTACAGGACACCAGGACAGGCTGCCTCCTTCCTGAATGAGTTTAGTACTTAATTGAATGAGACATTTTCATACTTGAGGCCTTGAATGATCTGGCCTCACAATTCATCTTCCAGGACTTACACCACTAAGCATAATTGTGCTACTATCTCTGTGATCTTAAACTCTGAACATTCCTCTTCACTGTAACCTCCTATGCTTCCCAATCCTCTCTGTCTCACTCCTGAAATTCCCTTGACACTTCCCTGTCACTCTTTCCTATTCTAGGAGTCCATTATTCCCACTATGGCTTCCAAATATACAGGAGATCAAACAAACATAGAAGGCCTAGTGAACACCCAGAGAATGGGCTAAGGACTCACACCATCTGGCAGATATTACTGGGAAAACTAGAAAACAGCCCAGCGGAAATTACAGGTATAGACCAATACCTTACACACCATATACCACTATACGCTCCAAACATATGCACGAACTAAATATAAAAGGTCACATCATGAACAAATTAGAGGAGGAAGAAGAAAATACTGTTCAGATCTACAGATAAAGAAGAGTTCATTACCAAATAAGTGACAGAGGGGATAAAAGAAGATAAAATGAATAATTTTAATTATATAAAATTAATTTATTTTTGCACAAACAAAACCAATGGGGTTAAAATTAAAAAGCAAACAAGCGGGGGGGGGATTTTTTTCTCTCATAAAGATCTCATTTCTAAGATATATAAGGAATTGATTCAAATTCATCATTCTAAAAGCCATTCCCCAATATATAAAAGGTCAAAGATATACAAAAGGTGTTTTCCAAAGGAAGAATTCAAAGTTACTGGTACCCATATGAAAATATGCTCCAAATGCAAATTAAAGCAAATCTAAGGTTTAACTTCATAATCATCATATTAGCAAAGACAAAAGAAGAAAATGACAAATACTGAAGGGACTCTGGGAAAACAGGCACACTAGTGCACTGAGAATAGAGTTCTGAAATGTCTAGCCATTATGGAAAGCTACATGGTACTATGCCCAAAAAGTCACTAAATTGTGATCCATCAATCCTACTACTAGGCATTTATTTCCCCAAAGAGACTGAAGTAGAAAAGATCCATAAGTACAAAAAAAATTTAACAGTTTTTTTTCACAGTAGCAAAGAACAGAAAACTAAGGAAGCGATCATCTACTGAGGAATGACTAAACAAATTATATCACATGAATGTAATGGAATAGTATAGTACTATAAGAAATAGTTTCGAAGGAAATTGAAAAACTTCTATGATGTGATATAGACTGAAATAAGAGCTGGGAAAACAATCTATACAATGACAGTAATGTAAGAAAGAAAAACAACTTTGAAAGACTTTAGAACACTGATCAATGCACTAACAAATCATGATTCCAGAGAACTAAAGAAGCACACTAACCATCTCCTGACAGGGAGGCGATGGATATCAAATGCAGAACAAGACCTACATTTTTGGACATGGCTAAAAGGAAATCTGCTTCACTTGATTATATATGTTTATCATAAGGGCTTTATTTTTATTTTTTGTTATTTGTGGCTTGTTAAATAAAAAACACTGCTGAAATTAGATTAATAAAAATAAAAAACAGACAGCTTCCAAATTTTAAAAAAAATGCCTATGCCAATATGATAAAAAATAAAAATTAAAGTTTAAAACAAAACAAACCAAAAAAACCCCTACACCTTTAAAAACACTGAGCCAAAAATATCAGTACTTATTCTCTAATATACACACAGTTCAACTACCAATGAACACAAGAAGACAGGCTCTAAAAACACCAGCATCAAGAGTAAGGAAAATTCAACTCAGACCTCATCTAACCCCCTACAAACAATGATAATGCAACAGAAGAGCCTTGAGAAGATAGATACCCCAATCAAACTGCCTATCAGAAAATGAAAAAATACCACAAGCTCAATAATAAAACACCAATGATGCTCTTGGAACACAGATGACAAGAGATATCTCTTGTGTCAAAGCAAAGCGGACAGCCAGGACAGAATGATATGTATACTCGCTGTCGGACTCTGTCACCGTATCAGGTATTTGGCTTTTTTTTCCCTTTACAAGAGGATTAAATTTAGGGATGGTGGGTGGCTGTTTTCTTTTTTTTTTTCCCTTTAGAAATGATTGTGATTTAAAGAAAAAGCATATATAAAAAATTTAAACTATAAATTGACTCAATTAGGAAATTAAATTTTAAACCCAGCCACCAGAAAGACTCTAAAGATTCCATTCACACCCAGTAAACTGGCAAGATAACAAAAGAAAGGAACAGTCAATGCTGAAGGGGGTGTGTCAATACAGGCACACACTAATGGATTTTTGTTGTAGTTGCAAAATGTTACAATCCTTCTACAAAGCAATTTGGAATTATGCCAAGAAAAGGATTATACTATCCACAGCATCTGACCTATAGTCCAGGGCTAGGCAAGCTGGTCAATGACACTCATCACTTTTTTGGATGCCCACGGACTGGAAATAGCGAAACAAGCTGTGGTAAAGTGAACAAAATGGAGTATTACTGTGCTATAAGAGCCACTGAACGTGATGAATACTGAGAAGCATGTAAAGACTTAAACGAACAGATGCAAAAAGCAGAGTAAGCATTGCCAGGAAAACAACAATGTAGAAGGGTAAAGGAACAACGAGGACAGTAACACAATCAACACTGAACACTACAAAACTATCATGACCGAACCTGGCTCTAAAGAAGAGGGAGGTGTGGAATATTGCCTATGATGGGGGACTTTAAAATACTGGTTCTGAATATGCTAGTTTGAATTTTTTCCTTTCTTCTTCTTTAAAAACAAAACAAGACAAAACAAAACACCCCCAATTATCATAAAGAACAGCTCTCTGGGAAGCACACAGTGGATAACATAGGTGATATGAAAACAAAGACACAATTTTAAAAATGTAATAAGTCCTGAAGTCACAAAAATCCTTAAACTCTTTCCTGATTACATCAATGTCCACAGTCTCTACTACAACCCATCTGTTCTCTCCTGAAGCCCCCTTAAGCCACCCTCCACTACGTCCAGCTCAGCAGAAAACCCTAAGACATTTGAGGTCCCTTTCAGATCTAGACCTCTATGACCCAATAATCACTCCTATGTCCCCACTAGCAAAGGGGATTTCTGGCTAAATGGTTAATTATTTGTCTTCTAACTCAACTTTTGAGATTTTGATTCTTCAAGTGTGAGTGTGCTAACTAGGAGAACAAGCTTTGCATTGCAAGTGTTAATGAGTCACCAACCTTTCTTTGAGGAACACTTTCCTCCAGCATCTGTGACGAGCAGGCATCTTCAGGATTCTTGGCTTTATGACGAACAGAGTGACTGGCTGAAGAGGGCTCGCTCTTTGCTGAGCCTACAGTCTTACAGGGTGGTTTTGAACCACCGCTGAGAGTCTTTTGGGTGGAAGATCTTCCCTTCCCACCTGCTTCGAAGTGCTTCTGCTTAGTGAACTCTGCAGGAAAACCATGTCCTCCCAGGCTCTGTACCGCAGCTTCCAATGAGTTTCTTTTATCTGGATAGGAAAAAACACAACCTGAGTCTTAAAGACTTAGAGCTGTTAATGACTACACTATCATAAAACCTAGGGCACGGCAATCCCTTCACTGCTTTGTGCACAAAAAGGGCATGCTGATGACACACGGTCATCAACTTTCAGGCTTCTCTTACCCAGAGAGCTTAATATCAGGTCAGTTCTAATGTACTGAGAGTCCTTACAAAGCATTCAAAATTAGTCTTTGTTACTAAGAATATTTATAGGAAATTAAAACGTAACAGCTGAAATAGTACACTCTTACAAAGACATTAAATTCCATTTGAAAGCCATTTGCCTTTCTAGTAGATAAACTAATGTGAATATCTGAACTTGCAGAGAATAAAACTGACTTTTGCTTCACATAATTTAAGCCAAGCGCATGTGATGAACAATGTGATGAGGTCAAAGACTTAAATTTTTAAAGCACCTCACCTGACCAAAATAAATAAATAATAATAATAAATTTTAAAGTTGAATGGTAATTTGCATTTTATTGTATGAAAATGATTAGCATATTTATAACTACTGGTTTTTCATTTCCTGTAACATTTACTAAATTTTAATTTTTTACTATAATATACTAAAAACATTTTGCTATAGTAATAGCTCTGATTTTAAGGTTTGCAAAGCACTTTACATGTTAGAATGCTGACCTAAAATAGGTCTCCTGACTCTGACTCTCCCACTTTTTCTACTAGATCACATTCTCAAATGCTTGCTATGCATCTCTGGGCACTTAAAGAATGGATTCAGAGCATACAGTCATGCTTTTCCACTCCCTGTTACTTCTGGACAAAATAAACCCAGGAGCTAAGCAACTATGGCAAGTCTTTTTTATTTAAAAAAGTCTTGTTAACGCTGAGAGAGAAAAAGTATTAAGATAAGCTGATACTTATCATCAGCAAAGTGGCCATCATTGTACCTGGTGACCTTGGCCGTCTTCTTGATGTCCACTCTGAGCTGGCAGATCTTGGGGGCTTCGGACTGCCCCTGAGGGGATTTCTAGATCGATGTGGCGACCGAGACCGGTGTCTGGGACTGAAGCGATGTGAACATCTTGGACTTCGACTTCTTGGTCTATTTTGCATGTAACGTCCAGGGCTCCTAGACCGAGATCGCCGCAACTTGTGACCAAAACTTGGCCCCCTAGACCGGCGGGGACTGGCACTAGATGAGTGAGTACGTCTCCTTGGAGTCTGATTTTCCTTTCGATTGCCCTCATCTCTGTGAAATAAAATCAACAGACTAGATTTAACCAAATTCCCACTTAATTTCATTTTATTCAGAATGAAGCTAATTTAAAATTTTCAGAAGAGTAGCTTTCACAAAGAATGTGCAAGCATACACCAAATTCTGGCAGCTTCTTATTTCTTTAAAAGGGGGGGGGGAATCAATTTTATAATGAGAGGTATTTGAATACATATTTGGTAAAGAACTGGTTCATCCCACAAAGGCTTTTCTGACTGCCACAAATGCTGATTTGGGGTTTTTAAAAACTGTAAGGAATTTAGAAATTTTATTGAATAACTACCATCAATACTAGGTATATTCTGAAAAGCATATACTGTGGAGAAGTGGCATCAAGTTTCCTTGCAGGCTGCATATTAACTTGGAAAACCAAGTCTTAACATCATTTATGTTCTATTATATTTTTATTGTTAAATACTTCCCAATTACATTTTAATTTGGCTCAGCCCTTGAGGTATCTGGGCTTCACAGTGTATATTTGACACCTCTGCTACAGAGGAAAGCCAAAATATGGTCAAGGTAAGGAAAAAAAGATCTGTTTTAAATTTTAGAGAGCAACTCATGGAAACAGAGAACAAAAACCCTGCTGATGTTCTTATACTTCCTCTGAAGCCTCTTTGGGAAAGTCAATTCATTAATAACTATCTATTACGCTATGTGCTGGGTTCAAGGGGTACAAAAACAAAATATTAAATATTTCCTACCCAAGTGGCTTATTTTCTCTGGGAGGAAACATGTACATCTATAAATGTATGAAGAATACAAAACAAATAAAATAAATGATGAGGGCCTGCAATGAAGGTAGTGGCTTTATGAGTAGAGAAAAGGGGACATGTGAAAGAGACACTGTAAAAGCATAAATAACAAGATCTATCAGCAGACTGGACATATGGGTCAAGTATGAATGACACTGAGGTTTCAGGCATAAATAACTAGGATGATGGTTGTATCCTTTATACTTACAGGGAAGTCTAGAAAAAAAGAAGGTGCGTATATAAGGAAAGATAGTGAAGCCAACTGCATATACTGAGTTTAAGATGTGTACGAGACATCCAGGTCAAAATGCATATGCCACTGAATTCATGTGAGATGATCAGATTATCAAGGAAATATAAAAGGAAAAAAGAGGCTGTTCTAGTACACGGCTTTAAAGCACCTACAGCTAGTGGGCATGACCTGAACGAGCAGCCAGTGAAGGAGAACGAGAAGAAAAGGTCAAACATGTAGGCAGAAAAAACCCAACAGAAAGCACTGCTATGAAAGCCTAAAGAGGAGAGACTATCTGAGAGGAAGAGGGTGGTCGTGTCGAAGACTGAAGAAAAGTCAAGAAAACACAGGACCGAGAAAAGACCATTAGAAGTGGAAATCAGGAGACCAATCGTCAATTCAGCATTGGTTGGCTGTTGCCCTTCCCGCTCGAAGAGGACCAAAATGATGACATCATCTGTCTGGGTGAAGATACAGTGTATCTGACTGTGGCTGATCAGACCACTGTGAGCTCGGAATACTCTACCACAGTTTGGGCACGAATAGTCCATATGAACATTAGGGTGGATTCTCTAAACTTACACATCTCGCATTTCTTTTGAGCTACTGCAATTCTGCTTCACTCACAGAGCACAGCCCTTTCTCTAGTCCTGTGTCAGCGTCTCCCACATCCTGCAATCAATTCCAAAGTTCTTCAGACAGACTCTGAAAGTGTCCTTGCATCACTTGTTCTGACCTCCAGGTGAGTGCTTGCTCTGTGTGAGTTCTCCATAAAACAGTCTTTTAGGCAAGCGTATGTTTGGCATTCAAACAATGTGGCCAGCCAACCAACTGGCTGCACTTTCACTCATGCCCAGTAGACCTTCCTCCCTCCCCCTGCCACGCTCACTGATCTTGGTGAGGGAGTTACATACTCCTTGTCCCTCACTGCTGTCTCCTGACTCTGCCCCTACCACTGTCACTACCAGCTAGCCTCCTTCGAGATTAATGTTGTACAACCAGTGCTGGAAAGGATAGCCAGGGGTGCAGTCATCTGGAAGGAGCCAGACCTCAGTGAGTGGCAGAAAACCAAAGCAGTCAGAAAAGGGTTAAGATGAAAGGCAGTTTGTTCTGCTTGACTCAAATGGGCAGAACTGGGAACAGTAAAATCAAAGCAGATTCCAGCTCAGCGTAAAGAAGAACTTTTAACAGTGTGAGCTGTCCGCCAGTGGAGCGGGTTGCTTTGGAGGATAGCGGATTCCCCTTTTCCAATAGAAGCTGGCAGACCACTTGGGAGAACATCTAGTAGATAAGAATTTTGATCAAGATACTAGCTGGACTCAACCCACCAAGCATTATTTATTAAATCCTGACTATGTGTCAAGCATTGGGAATACAGAGAGATGGGCTGACACAATCCTTAATGGGGGAAACAAATACATATAATACTACATGCAGTGTAAATGTAAATTTAATATAGATACATCAAAAGTCGTTTGACAGTTGGGCACCAGCAGTGGGAAGAATCAGAAAAGGCTTCACGCAGATGTTATTTGAGCTGCTTCTTAAGGGATGGATGAGGTAAGGATGGAACGGATGCAGAAGTGTGGAATGGCCACAGTCAGGACATGCAACTGAGGGAGTGAAGAAGAGAAGGTTAGTTCCAATGGTTTGCGAACGGAAAGGGGAAAGAACGTCCCATGAAGCTGGAACAGCAGGTCAGGACCAGGTTGTGTAAGGTTTTAAAAACTCAACAAGATTCGGCATTTATTCTAGAGGCGAAGGAAGCCACTAAAGTTGGTTAAGGACACAGGCACTGTTAGATCTGTGCTTAAAGAAAATTATTCTGGCAGCTGTGTGTAGGATGGACTGGATGGTGACAGACTTGAGGGGGACAGACCAATTAGAAGACTATTCCACCAACTCTAACAAGACACTGCATAAAAAATAATGATCCAAGTACTACCTATCAAAAACAAAACCAGAAAAGACTGCTATAGCCTACCTACTACTAGTGATTTTTTAAAATTAGGGTTTTTTTCCCTTTAGAACCAAAGTAATTTCCCCCTTTGTTAAAAAGCTGAAGCAAAACCAATGGCCACATTTAATTGCATACGTTACACGGAACCTAAACACCATCTCCCTCTGATACGCATCAGTTCTCTGTGACTCAGACTGGTCACTATAATCTGAGTTCAATTCAAAACAAATTACGTTTACCAGCAATCATTTTGATACAGAATCTGTAATAACAAATCAAGAGTGGATACTTTTGCAAAGGGTACTTTTTGCTGATTACTAGTTCAACCTATCTGAAGACAGCTACTTAATAAAATATCATTACAGATGGCAAATGTAGCCACGAAATTTAAAAGATGCTTGCTCCCTGAAAGGAAAGCTCTGGCAAATTTGGACAGTGTACTAAAAAGCAGAGACATCACACCTTGCTGACAAAGCTATGGTTTTTCCAATAGCAACGTAGAGTTGTGAGAGTTGGACTATTAAGAAAGTTGAGCACCGCAGAATCAATGCTTTCAAACTGTGATGCTAGAGAACACTTTTGAAAGTCCCCTGGACAGCAAAGAGATCAAATCAGTCAACACAAATAAATTAATTCAGACTATTCACTGAAAGGACAAATACTGGAGCTGAAGCTTAAATATTTTAGCAACATAATGAGAAGACAGGATTCACTGGAAAAGATGTTGGGAAAGATTGAAGGCAAAAGAAGAAAGGGACAGAAAAGGACAAGATGGGTAGATAGTGTCATGGAAGCAATAAACCCAAGCTTGGACAGACTTCAGGAGACAGTAAAGGATAGGAAGGTCTGGGTATGCTGTGGTCCATAGGGTCATAAAGTGCTGGACAGGACTCAAAAACAACAACAACTTGGCAAAAATCATTACCTCCTGGAAGACAGGATCTCAGGATTCCAATCAGGATATCTATTTTGAGAAAAAAATATTAATGAATATATACTGTTGTTATGATACTTTAAAATCAAATGTTATAGAAGCACAGTAAATCTTTTTTCAACTACAATGAACACTGATTGTTCCAAACACCCCAGGTTTACAAGAGGAATTTCCACTTTTTAGAAACAATTCAGTTGTGCTGCAGGGTTAGGCATTCACCTGTAACTTATGACTTGAAATGTTCTTAGTTTAAAATGGATGTTCTTTTAGACACAAAGACTAAATAGAGGTTATAATTCAATTCATTTTTTAAAGTAAAAATGTTCTACTGCAGAAACTAAAAGATGATGGAAAGAATTTCGTTAAGTCAACAGTAAGTCCATGTATCAAAGTGGTATGCAAAATTTCAGAGAGAACAGAGTATTTAGTAACAGGACAAAGGTACATGTGAAAGAACAAAAAAAAATTTACCGTATGCTATAACTTGTATATATAACACATTATAAAATGTTATATATTTCTTTTAGGAAAAAAATAAGTAATTGTTTAAGTACTTTTCATAAAATTAGGTTCTTTAAAATACCTCAGGCACCACCTACTCTATTTAACTTGTACATACTGATTTACATTGTCTTTTCCCATTAAAATGTAAACATTTTGAGGGCAGGACTATTTTTGCTTTATATCCCCTAGTATTTAGCACTACTTGAGGAATATACTAAGTGCTTAATAAATGACTCCTGATAATTGTCTATATATAACCCTTACAGTCTCAAAATTCTTTAGGCAACATTGCAACTTTAACCAGTAGATACAAGACCCATGAAGTTAATTAACTATAAGGGTTATTCAACTCCCTTATAAGACTAATTTACGGAAGATACAGTGAAACTTTAGGTAATACAGTGATCTGGTGGGACTTCCTCTCTCACCTCTCATGACTTGGGAGGAAAATCTTTGGACCACTGCATAATGATTAACTGACCTCATCAGTTGGGGAAAGATTCCATGCCCTTGAATAGTTTCCATACAAAGCAGAACCACCCTCCCGTTTTCAAACTTAGCTTAGAATCAATCTATTTGAAGCATGAAATTAATATGTTAAGGATTTTCTATGAGAGGCCCAAACCTCAGCACAAGGGGTTAAAAGACCGTGATTGCAGCAACAGTAACTTAAAATAATGAACAGTGAACTTGGAGAGTGTGCAAACAGTTACTACCTGCGTGACCCTGGGGAAGAATTTAGCCTCTCAGACTCAAGAAGAAATTAGGATACCTGTTGGGGGACCGTGGATCTATATCTACATGGGCCTAGGCAAGAAGCCACTAGATATGGAATTGAGGACCCAAGCACACAAGTTCTACACCAATAAAGCATATTGTCTTTTATGGTACAATGTAAAAACCACCACAATCTTAGCAGCTCTCTGGAAGGTGCCAGAAAACAGCTTCCCCAACTATTCATACTTTGTTGGCTAAGATAAAGCCTCAAAGCGCAATACAATTAGGCTATCAAGACACCTGGCAGCGCCCGGAACGAGAGACTTGCCTCTGGGCCAAGGCTACCATTTCAGAAAGCCCCTGAGACAGAAGAGGCAGTAACTATTGTCCTTGCTGCTTTCCGGTCCTAGACTAGGAGGGCAAGCTTATGCTTGAAAAATTCCCCAAGAAGGTACCAAATCTTATGAATTCGGGAACAGAGGAGGAGAAGCAGTAGTGTATAATTTTCCTAGCTCACCCTGATAGAAGATTTACCTTTTTTTCTGATGACAGGCCTGGGTTTTTCTTATTCAGTCTACATCAACATCCCCTAGTTCTAACTATCTTCTGCTTCCTCAAATTACCTTTCATCTATGTAAATGACGACCTCTCCCAAGGGGGAGATCCTAGGGGGTAATCAGAAGGTTTTTATTTTTGTCTGTTTCCCCAGCACCCAACCCTGGCACATCAAGGGTGCTTAATATATGACTAATGAATGAATCCTAAAACACATAAAGAAAAGCAAAAAAGGAACTCATTTGTTCCAAAGTAGGTCTTTCCTGGAAGAACAAAGAAGAGACCAAAAAAAAGATTTGCCTTAAAAATGTCTGTGTACCTGGGAGAAGCAACTCAATGATTTTATGCCCTGAGAACAGTAGCAAGTAAGGCAAAAATCACTAGACATGTTTTCATCAGCCAATTCAAAATATTCTTCCTACCATTACAAAGACCAAACACTCTATGTCTGTAAAATTAGTAAAAACTAAATGAAAACGTCTTAAGTATTTTCCAAAAACGTTTCATGTTGAAAGTTATCAACAGGCATTCTAAAATGTCTTATCTACGCAAGAAAAAATCAATTTTCCTTACTGTTGACGTAACTGCCGGCAGCTCTCAATGTGGGCAGGTGTATTCTGATGCTGAATCCAATTCTATTAGAAAAAAGGGGGAAAGTACTGAAGTTAGAATATGCTATACCATGACATGTCTACCATAATTATGAATTCTTAAGGGTCAGAGTTGTTAAGGATTTTTTTTAATTGTTTCAGTAACTAATCTGACCCCCAAAACTAAAATGCACAATTAATTACAGGTAGCACATCAAAATTTATATTCAATAAACTTGACAAAGACAAGAAAATAAAGTCCCAATTACATTTAACATCATTAACTTACTGATGTTGCGGATAAGTAAACTACAACAAAAATTTTGTTTACCTTATTTCATTTCATAGGCAAGACTTCAAGAGTCAAGCAGAGAGAATAAGTGTTCATTTTTGCCAAAAGAAAAAAGAAATGCCAGAGACCACCTACATTTTAAAGAAAATGGTCTTTATGACATGTTCACAGTATAAAACCCATACTATCAAAATCTTATCATTCATGACAGGTATCTTTCCAAAAGAGGTCACCATTAGATCTACATGAGGACATGGTTTAATATATTCTAAAAACACAATTCATGTTTTAAAGTTTACTTTCATTTTAAAGTTATACCAAGTTTATGTTCATGTTTTTATATATATATATATATATATATATATATGTATATATATATACACACACATACACACACACACACATATAATAAAAGAATTAAATATTGGGCATTACTAAATTATTACGTGGTTGAAGAAATAACAACACAAAGAACTTTGCCCTCAAATAACAAATGCACCCCATTAGCTCGTGAAGCACACAAAAAGCCAGTATAATTCTTGAAGTGAACCAGAAGTGAATCACCTGAAAACAAAACATACAGTTTAATGCTGTTTTGTTTTTCTAACATGAACCAGAAAACTATCTCATATAGTGAGCCCCACAAAAGGTTAAGAGTACACAACTCCCTTGTTTCAAATACTAGTTTACTGCTAACATCCCAGCTGAGGGTACACAGGTAAGGCCAGCAATCCAATGGCTACTAACTGCCTTAGGGCAGAAAGAGGCAAAGCTATTCCATCTATATGGTGCCTCTGCACCAGCAGTCCTTTAGGTGAATAATAAGACTCACTTTTGAAGACCTCCCCAGGAAAATGGTGACTGGGAACTGAAATGGGGAAATGTTGACAAACTTCCTACCCAACAGGAAGCCAAAAGAAGGCAACAGTAGCAGTACCTACAGGTGACAATGCTTCCTCTGGTGCTCTGGGTAAGAAATCTCAAACAATGGCATCTATTATCAAAATGTCCAGAAGGCAATTTTTATCTCTCAGGGATAAAAGGAAATTTCCTATATGACAGGCTGCAAGAAGACCCAGAATAGTATTGTTTAGGAGTCTTCCAACAATCTCAACCTTTCATTTTCTCTCTCCCTAAATTTTCTAAATTTGACCAACCTAAACTGAATTACTATTTGCCATTGAGAGAGTAGCCTTGACATCATTAAGATCAACCCTATCAATTTAAAGCTTTAAGGCACCCAAAGGTCATCTAGTCCAATCCCATTTTCCAGGTGAGAAAACACAGGCCCAGAACAGTTAGAAGACTTGCCCACATAGGTAGTAAAGGGCAGAGATAGGATCTGAACCTAAACCAGCTCCAAATCAAGCAGTCTCTCTTACTGATTAAAAGTCTAACTGCTAACTACTAATCAACCACAGAACAGCTTTTTTTACATTCCATTTCTTTATCCAAGGTATATTTTTCTTGCCTTTCCTAGAAAGACAATTTATAACACACACACACACACACATACACACATTTACAATACAAGCCCCTGACGCTATTCAAAAAGTATATTTTTTCCTGAGCTGCAAGTGTTTAAACATTCTGCCACATGAAAATTTTACAACAGTGAACTGTCCAATGATTAAAAGTAGAGCCAATTTTGCAGTCCTTCATGAGGACAAATTTAATGCTAAAGAAACATGAGAGGGGAAATGAAGTTCTATCTTTAAATAGAAAGAAGTAAACATAAAACTGGAAGAGACCTTAAAGGTCATCTAATGCAATTCTTCCATCCAAGCACAGTGCTCTATGACACCCCTGACCAGACTCTGCTTGAACACTTTCAATGACAGAGAAACTAAGATTTCAAAGCAACCGATTCCAATTTGGACACCTCTAATAGGTACCAAGCTGAAATCTACCTCCCTGAACTAGATTAAAAATCATCCAAAGTCGAAATGAAATGTGTGTGTATATACAAAAGTCAAGCCTAAATACACACATTTTGTGTAGATGACAATCTGGCATGAGTTCCCTCACATGCTCTCATTTTCATCTCATAACCTGTATTATAACAATCCTCGACTCAGAAGATAAAAGATCATTTTTTCCCGAAAAAGACTGAGACAGAGACCCTGTTTCTAAAAGGGCTACAACTAAAAGAAGGGGTCAGCTAGGTGGCGCCGTGGATAGAGCACCAGCCCTAGAGTCATGAGGACCTGAGTTCAAATCCGGCCTCAGACACATAACACTTACTAGCTGTGTGACTCTGGGCAAGTCATTTAACCCCCAACTGCCTCACCCAAAAACCAATAAATAAATAAATGAATGAATAAATGATGGAAAATGAAAAATAAAAGAATGAGGTGACAACCCAAAGATGTTTGCCTGTACAGTGGTTATCTTGGGTCAACTGCCCCAGCTCCAGAAATGAGCATCAGAGGCTGATCCTTAGTAAGTAAAAGATGTGATTCATGGAAGAGAAGAGAAGGATTTAGACTAAATGAGAATAAGATGGTAGGAAGACTCACACCCTGGGCATGGGCAAAAATCCAAAGGTTTCAAAAACAGTGGTTAAAGTACAAAGCAAAAAGGTCCTTTAACAAAAACCTGCTCCTGTAGGAAGGATTTTTCCCCTTCATATTTTGAGCCCAAGGATTTAGACTACAAATTACAAAGGATTTTAGCAGAAAATAGTTTACACAAGCATATCAGAGCAAACAAACTACAAAAAAAATTCATCCTGAACTCCACATATTATAAAAAAATAGAGTACACTATATTACATCATTTAAAAATCCTACTTCTTCCAGACAGTCTTCAAAACCTCTATAAAATATTACTACGTGACAGCTACGCTAACCATTAAGTACCTAAACCTGGTAAATTCACATTTATATTTCTCCATATTCTGTCATCATTTTACAGTCTCCCAAAATATATGCTAGATATAAAAAAAGCCTCAGTAAATTAATTCCATTTATCAAGAGCCAATAATATCCTAGCTTTGCTGAACTTCCCAGAGGAAAATCTAAACCAAAGGTAAATTCTTAGTGTGGGACCTGTGAAGTTGTTTTTTAATATTTTGATAACTGTATTTCAATATTAGTTTCCTTTGTATATGAAGTCAAAAGCATTCTGAGTAATCCTCTGGCTTCATCAGACTGCCAGAGGAGTCTATGATACAAAAGAGGCTAAGAATCCCTGAACTAGAAAACATAAAACCAAAATATATCAATAAAAAGTATATATACATATATGTCCATGGTCTGACATAAATGTTGTTATCTTAGAAAACTAACTTGTTTAGAGTCTTCTATTTCCTCACTGTATTAAAAGTTATCTGGCCCATGTTTCCCGGTCAGAACACACTTAAATCAGCATTAAATGTCACTGGCCCTGAACACATAGGTATGTGCAAGGCTGCTGAGGATCTCCAAAAGATGTACCAAAGATAAATGCAACATATCAACTTTTCACATGATTCAATAGGGTTAAGTTTTTATCCAAGCAGAGAAACACTTTAATCTTATTCAAATAATTTGTGATAAAATCTCCAAAAATTTATAGTTTACATAAAGATCAGATTTAATTGCCTGTCAATTTCTTAATTCTCAATAAATACCAGAACACATCAGAATGTAGAATATAATTTACTCAGGCGCTGAGAATTATACAGTGATCTTTAGAAACCACTCACCTTCAAATGACTACACTCTACGTTACATAGAGAACACATATGTGGAAATATTCTTGGAGATGCAGCATAATAATCATTCATCATAGAAGGAGTTGGAAGTCTCTTCATCTTCTGGGCACCTGCCTGCGAAAACTTGGGCAGCCAAGATGCTTTTACAATTCCAAATGGAGACTGAATAGGAGCATCAGGTTCTGATGAGTAATTTTTTTTCCCACCTCCAGACCCAATATGCATGTTAGATGAATTAATCCCAGGTTCATGTGAAATCCTCTCCTGTTGGCTTACAGGTGTAATTAGCTCAGTTGAAAAGGACTGCTGGCTCATAGGAGGTGGTATCAGAGATTGGCTCATTGAAGAAATAAGTGACTGGCTCATTGCTTGACTAATAGACTGGCTCACAGAGTTCACTGGTTCAAGGACTGACTGTCCTGTCATGTTTAAATTTGACATCTTGTTTGCACTATCAACTGGGAAAAATGACTGATTATTGGAGGACTCACTTTGGAAACCCATCTGTCTGATCAAATCTTCAACCGGAAACATTGAATTACAAATCACATTTGGAGCAGACACAGAAATATTCTGCTGGGACTGAAATTCGTTCTTATTTTCTTCTGTTGGCTCTTCAGGGTCATAAATTCGTACTTCCAATGGATCTTCTGTGTAACCATATTTACTGGCATGTCCATAATCAATCACATTACTTGAAACTGTCTCACTACCAAGGGTTTCTTTACCACTTCTCTGTGAAGGTAAATTAGGTAACCAGCGCCCCATTTTACGCATTCTTATATCCCTCAGTATCAATGGCATGTTTTCTGGGGTTAGCTGTTCATCTGGATATCGACTGAGCTCCTCTAGGTCTTCATTGGATAATCCAAAACTTGCTAAAATACTTGATGCGCTTTCCTTTGTGTATCGACTATGTACCTTAGGACTCTGGTCTGCAATGTGTGTTGCAGAACCACGTTTCAGTCCTGCTGTTCCCGCTGGACGAGGACTGTCATCCCACTGGCCAACATGAGGTTTTCCCTTCTTTTGTTGGGCTTCATGAAAATCCATTTTTTCTTTGGCCAATCTTGGGTCAGTTCGGTGTTGCATCATCTGAACATTTGTCCTATGGGGGCCCATGCTCTGGTAAGATTCATGGCCTCCAAATCTTTGCGCAATTCCATGGGGTCTTCCTGACGGGTGTAATCTTGGGATACCCATGGTTTCAGTTCTCATATACCCTCCATGAGGCTTCATCCCAGAAGGGTTAGGTGCTTGTGGCCTTTGACCTGGAAAGTGTCCTCGAGGATTAAACCTGGGTCTCGACATGGCTATTTTCAAGAATGACTGATTTAATAAAGAATAAGGTGATGCTGAACCATGTGAAGCAACTGCATTCAGCTGTTGTAGAGCCAACTGTGTCTTAATCTGAGCAAACTGCAAAGGAGATGGGCCCAACAGAAGTGGGTTTGCAATGCCCAGGTTCAAGGAATTCACAAGTGGTGCGAAATTTTCCAAGAATAACACAAAGCTGAAAGTTAAAACACAAATATTAGATCATTTTAACTCAACTATTTTATGAAGTGGATTCTATAGCCAGTGAAAAACATTATGAAATGTTAAATCATGAAATCAAGCTAAATTTCAAATGCTTTTAGAATAGAAGCTTCAGGAAAAAGTTAAAAATCACAATAATCCCAGTATTCTCTTTCTTGTTTTTAAAAACACAAATACTCGGACATAGTGGTAAATTGGACATCCCCCATCTTCTCCCGAGGAGCAACAAGAGCTGTCCGAGGTGCTGGGCAATGACTTCCAATGCTTAAAACAGTTTAAAGTTCGTTTTTTTTCAAAAATGATTTGGGGATTTATTTCCAGCTGTTGTCATGTTACAAAAATACGTAGGTAAAAAAAAATGTTGAACACTTTAGATCATAATAAACTAATAAAAAATTTTAAATTCTCAATTATAAGATAGCATGCTCACAGAACAGTAAAACTTAACATCTTAAGAGACATATGACAAGCCATATTTTTTAGAAGAAAGTAAACTGGTTCATTAGCTATTCCTATATAATGTAAAGTGGCAATACAACTACAGGATTTTCTTTTGGCAGCAATTTAACTTGACTAGAGAAACAACTCCCACAAATAAATATATTGGAACCCCTATAATAATCAACTTTGCATTAAAAATGAATTCTGGCTTTAAATACTAACGGGGTTTTTTTTTAGCCTTTCATAAGCTGGCACAACCTTCTTGGAGACTCATCCAAAGAGAGAAGACATAGACAATCAAAATGTTTAATACTCAGGGAGTTACAAACACTCCCTAAAGATACATTAAGGGGAAAAACACTGTGGCCCCTCCTCCCCTCTCAAGCAGGAGCCACCTGACCCAGCCTATGGCAGACAATATTAGGCTTGAAAGAGCTTGTAGCCCACTCCTCCTTATGCTTGACACAAGAGCATGGGTGGCCAAGGACATATGATGCATCTGTGCTTGCCTCCATATCATGTGGTCTCTGCTATAACTCAGTGTACTCAGTTACCATCTTTTAGCACACCATCTTTTCTCTCATGCTACAAATTTACCCATACCTCCCATATCTTTATGCACGTCATCTGTAAACCGAAGAATATTAAACTAGTTAATCCATTCTGCTACAATCCAGCCTAAACGCAGTCACCTAACTAATCTTCTATAATTAACATTTTCATAATTATCACCAGCCTCTTCAAATTCTTTAATGACTCCCCACTGCCTGTAAGACTCAAGTCCAAACTCTGTGTTTACACAGAATGCCAAGGCCCTTCACAATCTTCTTCATTCTACTACTTCAACACGATCACCCATTTATTCCCTACTCAAACCTGAGACTGTAACCAGATTGGTCTATTTCCAGCCTTTGGCTCTATCGCACCTTATACAGAATAAGCACAAATTGGCATGATTTTATTTTCTTTCTTTAAAAGGATCTAAAGCTTCAACAAACAAGCAAGAGATTTCAGGGTGGAAGGAGGCTCTGAAATTACGCAACACCTATTGTAAGGCAAGCCCTGAAATTAAATGTGATTTAGTCATTTTAGTCCACATACTCAGCAAAAAGTCAGGGTCCTGCATCTTGGCTGTGCTCTGAAGACATTCCTCTGTTCTCTGGGAGACGATAAGATAAGCATAAAACTCCTCCTGGGACTTATGGTTGATGTGGAAATATCCAGCCCTAGTACAGTTCTCTTGACATCTCCTGTCCCTCCAGAGCAACAAATGAGATTCCCTCCACTTTCCCAGCTCTACTCCAAGACTCCCACATACGTATTTTTATGCAGTTTTTAAATATATTATGTTTTAGTTTCTATGTAGTTACATCCATACCGCAAACATCTTTTAGCTTATTTCTTTGAATAATTCCTGTATTTGTACTGCTAGTTATGAATTTTCTTACAAAAAAGTATACTAGAATGAAACTACTGTAGTCAATAAACAAGCATTTATTATGTTCTTGATTGTTCAGCTATCCACAGATTATCTGTCCAGTAGCCAAAATGGTACTGACCCTGTGTAAGTGCTTAATAATACATGCTTTCTGATATGAAAGCAATGGTCATTTACTGGTTTTTACCGTCTCAGTGTCTACTCTTATCTCCATACAGGAAAACAGTCTTTATCATGATGCTCTCTGTGGGACTAGATTTAGAGAGCATTTCTTTTTTTGTCATTTGAAAATAAAAGTTGATTCTGTTCAAGTATCTTTACAAATCAGAAAACAGGTTTACATTTATATATTTCAAATCATAGCACTTAATTTGAATTTTATGTAGGTATTAGTCATTTGGAAATTTTTTCATTGACTTAACATAGGGAGGTGCCTCCACTCAATACTTTTCTTTCTTTTTTCTTTTTTTCTTATACATACTTCTTTAGTTCTAAGTCCCCCTCCCCAGGCTAAAAACCAGTCAGTGGCCATTAAGTACCAAGTCAACAATAAAGTTCCAAAGTTCATCCCAGCTATTTCAGAATATGTGAAAAGTGTGTTCTCCTAAAAATATGGTTGAAATGTGCCATCTCAAAACAAAGTGAAATTTAAGGACTTAGAATCTCCCTAAAATTTCCCCTTTACATTTTCCTTGGGCAGGGTAGCTTGCAATCTTTTTTCTGAATTTAAATACAAGTTTATTTCATTCTCCAGAAGTAGGCAAAGTTCAGGAACGATCCTTATGATTAACATCAAAGTAGGGAAAGGACTTGGACCTGCGACCATTGGTACAAGCAACTACTACATAAGGAAACTTCCTACACCAAGCCCAAGTGACATCTTCTCTGCTTCTTAGAGTGTCAATGCTGCCTAAGATCACTGAGCACACGAAATTAACTTGCTCAGGACTACAGGGCCAGAATGTGCTGGAAGATGGAACATAAAAAGTATCTTTTGCAATGCCCCAAAGATAACATCAAACTTTAGGATAAAATATGTTCAATGTGAAACAAAAGACAGCATTCTCTTCAAATACTTTTGATTTCAAGTGTCTTCAAATCTCACAGGAATATTTGTGCTTCAGCTCCCACAAAACAGGAAGCTAAACATTTTTGAAGTTATGTATTGTGTGCAGAGCACTTTGCTACACAGGGAAATTACAAGATTTAGATTAACAAAAGGTTGTCGCCACTCCCCTCCCATCCTCAAAGTTTCACTGCCTATTTGAGGAATTAGACATCCAAACAGATAGCTACACTTAAGATATAAGTATACCAAAATTACAAAATCAAGTGTTATCTGAAGCCTGAGAAAGACCAGAAAAGACTGAGGTGACACTTCAGCTGGGGTTGAAAGGATGGATATCCCTTTAAATAATCCCTTCTAGCCAACTCCCAAGTTGTGTAGCAAAAAAAAACAAGCAAAGGGAACCCTGACAAAATGTCAAAGTTCTTCAACAAGTTTGTAAATGTATGTTTTTCATTTACTTCCATGCTTTTATGTAATGTTGGTGTGGCCTTAGTTCAACAGCTGCTTTTCTGAAATTTAGTCAAATAGGTTAAATCTTGTCATTTTTTCATCTGTCTTTCAGGTTCTTCAACTATTTTGTGTTCAAATATCAATCAACCAATAAGTATTTAGTAAAAATCACTGTATTTCAAGACACTGTGATAAACATGGCTGTTCTCTCATTGTGTATTTAACACACTGTATGGCTTTTATTTCTTCACTCATTGTAGCTAAATTTCCAAACTATTTAAGTGTAGAAATGATAATCAAGAGAACATAAGTGCTAATCCAGTTGGTTTTAAATAGCACTCAACTCTGTATCCACCTTGTTGGACAAGTTACTTACTGGAAAAAAAATCACACAAAATAAAATCAGCTCAACAGTTTCTATGAATTACCAATTAGAAAATTACAAAAAGCTAGGAAAAGTAATAATAACAGCTAGCCTTTGCACAGCTCTTCATGGTTTGCAAAGGAATGTATGTTCTCTCATTGGGCTCTCACAACAACCCTGTAAAGTAAGTGCTTTTATCACTATTTTGCAAATGAGGAAACCGAGGCTAGAAGAGGTTACGGTGACTTGCCAAGTTACACAGCCAGTAAGTGCAATCCTCCCTACTATACCAGTGGCGTCAAGTCAAATAGAAAAGGAGGCCACTAATCTGCAGGTCAGGATCTCTGCACACTGGGCTGCATAGTGACACTTTCAAAATGTAATATTAACTATGTTCTATTGTAATTTTATTCATTTTGTTAAATATTTCTCAATTACATTTTAATGCAGTTCAGGCTGCAGATGGGCCATGTGTTTAACATCTCTATGCTGCACCACCTAAAATTACAAGCCATCACCAACTTTTTGAGTGTCGTTTTTCAGAAGAAAAAGAAAACTGGGGGGGGGGGTTTCCAAAGTATAACAACATAAATTTATAATCATAATTAGGAAAAAAAACAGGCTTACGGAAATCCAGAGAAGGATGACATTTTACACATTTATGAATGTAACATCAGACAACTTGGGTAATCAATCACCAAGGTAAAATCCAGTTATTTATGCTCTAGACTTCAAACAATGAGTAGTTATGTGGAAATTATCCAGAAATGAGACTCTAGGCCAAAAGGATTTTCTGGATATCAAGCTGAAGGCTTAATGCTTTATTTTATCCATATTTTGATAGAAATGTTCTGAAAACCTAGCCCTTACCCAATACTCTCCCCTACGCAAACCTTCTATTTCAGCCAGACTTTCATTAGTCATCAAATATTCACAGTAATAAATACATTTCTGTGCCTTTTCTTTCACCAACTCCTTTTTTCAGGAAACATCTATCCCTGCTTCTTCCTTCAAGTCTTCCTAACCTGCCTGGTGACTGCTGCTTCCACTGAGGTACAGTCTTAAAACATTTAATGCTAATCATAATCAAAACTGGGGTTACCCAAAGAACAATGAGGAGGTACATGGTGGTCATAAGAAAGCTGCAACTTACTACCAATGATTCTGTGTAAAGAATTGAGCACATACACTGTCAGACACTATTGTGCCAGT